GTGTGAAAAAATTGCCACAACTATATGGACAAAGTTGTTCATAAATGTCAAGTAAGTGGTTCTTTTTAAGTACAGTCAAAGTATTTTAAAAGGAAAAAAAATAGATTTTCTTTATATCAGGATAGCAACCTAAAAATCAAGGAAACTTCACCTTGGTAAAAAAAAAACAGTGTCACATGTAAATAGTACATGTAAATTTGTAATTTATCAGACAAAATGCAGTCTGGGCTACATTAAGAAAAACTGTAAAGTTTAAAGAACATGAGAATTTGTGCACCTTTGGCAAAAAAGATTACCACACAGCATACATATTTTACCTAAATTTAGTAGAAAATATATTCATTTTTGATAGTTTATCTCAAGCCAATCCATAAACAATTCCAGGTTTTCCACTCTGAAAAGTTGTTGGGTCACTGGGAATATTTATTCAAAAGAACACATGGTTGGATGTAAACCACTGAGTCTACCCTGTTTTTACTTAAAACTACTTATGTTCCTATCACTGTTCAAATGCTTTCTGGAGAACTGTTCTTGAGCTATACTGGTGTGTTGGAAATCTTTTAATCTGCAGGCTACACCATTTATTTCTCATGGCAGTTCTTATCCACCTGAACAAATACTGCTTTTAACTTGAATTATACTTTTTATGCACTGGTTTCAGCTGGTTTCAGGGAGAAAAAATATTTTCTTCATGGTGCCTGGCATAGTTTTTCATCTGATGCATTTACAGTAAAACAATATATTCCCTATTTTTAAGTTCCTAGGCTTCTGATTCTTAGTGTCTTAAGCCTGACTGCTGTTGGCTTTGCCACAGACATGAATTCTTCTCTATTCCTGGAGCTGCCTGGAATGTTCCTCCTTGCACATTCACACTTAGACAAGCACATCACTACCATGAAATCGACATTCATAAGACCTGCATTGGTACCTACTGTTCCATGGAACTTTCCTAACTGCAAAGGAGGGAATCCCCACAGTTCTCAGAATAGCAACTTACTGCAATACTGGGCAGTGGCTCCCTGTGATTCAAGAAGTCCTAGGCTGCTTCTCATATTTATAGTGAGTGAAATGTAGGTATTTGCTACAGTAACACATCCAGTGAAGCTGAAAGTTCTGTAGAATAGCAGAAGAAAGTTACATCACAAAACCCAATCAAATATTATATTGTGCGTATGTATTCTAACATCACACATGTTGGCTGAGATAATCCTCTGAAAAACAGAAAGTAAGTAGCAGACATCAGTATAAAGGAGAGTACATGAACAAGAAGGTGAATTTACTGAAATGACCTGTGCATGAGTTGCTGCACTTGGTTCAGTTGTAACGGAGTTCTTTTTTTTTTTCATATGATGAAAATGAATATGGTTTATATGATGCTGTGCTATCCATTTGTGTCTAAAATAGAACTAATATTCAACTGGCATTTTGACAATCATTCAACAAAGTGCTAAGGCTTTCTCTTTTTTCCCACTCTGCCTCCTCAGCAAGTAGGCACACAAGAAACTATGAGAGGTCAAGACCTCATTTGATCCCAAGAGGATAGGCCACACCCTATGGCACTGTGCTCAGCAAGGAAAGCTGGGGGAAAAGATGAGAAAGGGGTATGATGTTCAGATCATGTTGTTTGTCTGCTCAAGTACCCATTAAGTGCAATGAGCCCTGCTTACCTGGAATTGCCTAAACATCTGCCTGCTGGGAAGGAATGAAGGAGCTCCCTATTTTGCTTTGCTTGTGTGCACAACTTTCATTTCACCTATTAAATTTGATCTAAATTTTGAGCTAAACTCATCAGTATACTCACTTTGGCCCCTCCAATTCTCTTCCCCACCCCAATCTGCTGCAGAGGTGTGTGAGCAAGCGGCTGTGTGGATGCCTAGTTACTGGCCAGGGCAACCACTACAGTCACTGAAGTATCTCCAAATGTTGCAGCGTCTACAGTGAAACTGCCAGACAGCTAATAAGAAAATATATTGATAGCTGATACAACAACCTGCACATATAGTTTCAATGTTAACTTAGCCAGGCAGTAACAATCTTTTCCTTATGAGCAGCACAATCATTAAAACTTGAAATATACATCAATTAAGTAGTAACAAAAAGTACATGGTCTTCTTGTCTCAATGAATGTATTAGACATAATTTGATGATGTAAGGATAATTTGATGATGTAAAACTGAACACCAAGATTTCATAAAGGAGCATGTATCTGCATGACTATGGAGGACATGCTTGAAAACTTCGTTAAATCAAATGCTATAAATAAGCTGAATGTTAATATGCTATCATTTTAAATATAACAATAAGTGTTTTAACTCTTACTTTCACAGCTAGAACTATATATAGAAATAATCAGATATAAAACTAGAAAGTGAATGAAGTTTTCTTTCTGTAAGTTTTTTTTTTTTTACAGTTTCAAAAGGTATAATTTTTTTTGTTGTTGTTTGCTTGTTTTCACCTAATGATCACCACTTAGTAATCACATGATAACATTAACAACACACAAGTCTTCTGAACACTTACTTTGAAGTAAGTGTTGGACTTGATGGAATAGATTCATGCCCTCATGTGGAGCCAACAGTAAGCAGTATACAACCATTCACTGTTTTTAACCAGTACTAAAAGCGTCTTACTTTCCCCTAACCACCAATCAATTAATTTGCCAACCACTCACTGGCTCTGGGACAATGCTCCCATAACCCCGTTCCACCTAACTCAGTCATTAACTAGGTTAGGGGAACATTTCCCTTGTAAATGAATCCCCTAAGCATTTTCAAACTTTTTTTTTTTTTTTTTTTTTTTTCCTCCCAGAAAAAAAAGAAAGCATACTTATTTTTCTTCATGTACAATATTTCTCTCTAAATATAAACAAACCTCATGAACCACTTTGAGCAGGTAAAGATATTCTGGTCTGCACAAAACTAACTGCTCAGGGAAAGCTTTGGCGTGTGTTACAGAAATGAATAATTATAGCAGTATGATGATTCCGACTCTTTTTAAGTACTGTCCTTCATTTTGTTTACCTCAGCAGAGAAAGGAAATAGTAAAAACAGGATGGATCCACCAGTCAAGATCAAACTCATCACACACCCACTTAGCCTGACCCTTAAGCCATGAGAATGAGTAAGACTGAAATCTGTGTAATTTTAAGGAGTGTGAAAGATCAACAAAAGATATGGCTTATGAGAGTCACTACAAAGCTTGTTTGAGTAACTACAAGACTAGCTAGAATCGGCCTATCTAGCTAGAAAACATGGGTAGACAAACTTCAGCTGTACTAAAAACTGTGCCATATAAATACAAGCTGTGTTAGAGATGGTGGTCATTATGGTGGGTATCAGGACGAGCAGCTCTGCTTAAGGCTCACAATAGAACTAGATTATCTCTTGGGCTTTGAAGTGAGAGTTGTTTGAATAAAAAAATCCATGAACTAATCATTAATGGCTTGCATAAAGTCACTTCTAGATGAGAATTTCCATATTATATAGATGGGCAGTGAATGGAGACATTTTCAAATCAGGAATGATGACAACAATTAGGGCAGTTATTAGAGGAAAAAAGAAAAGAAAAAAAAAAGATGCAACGATAGAAGATACAATAAAAACACGAAATATGGAGAAGATGTATATAAACAACTTATTTCCTAAACTTGTACAGAGAAAAGTGGAATGTTTTCAAGACATCATGGAAGACGAAGTGACCACAGAAAACGTTTCCTCTGCAACCACAGAGTTCTCTCTATTCGGTTCATATTGAGCACAGCAACTTAAAAGAAGTATAATGAACATTTTCAGTCTAAGAATTTCTCTCTTTTAAAAGGGCAAGTTAACTCATTTTTAAATGAAGAATAAATATTAGGGATCAGCTAACTATCACAGGAAGAAATATTACTGAATTGTCTCTGCCATTTAACATAAAAATGGCACTACTGGTACAAACCAAAAAGTTCATGTAGCCACATAATCTGCCTAGAAATGGATAACAGAAAACTGAATGACAAAAGGGAGAGCATGTTTTTGCCAGTGTTACTTCCTGTGCAACTGTATCAAAATTCAGAAAATAGTTTGGGTTAGGGAAGAACTCTTTATACTAAATTAAGAAGAGTGTATGTAAATGGAACAAATATTTTACATGTAAAATTGAGGTGCAGTTAAATGGTTAGGGCATTAAGTTCTAAAAATATATCGAAAATGTGGCAAAAAAAACAAACTGTAAGAACATTTTTTTGACCTGCAAAAAGCATACTTGAAATTGTCACTGTAGTTTCTAAACAGACAAACAACTAACTTCAATAGGAAAATAAGATAATGGCACACAGATTTAGCATTACAAAGAGAACGTTACACTTTTTAGTTCAGAAGATATGTTTTCCAGTCCTCCCAAGGCTATACAGCAAATATTTAGAAAATATACCTATTTTGTCCTCCTGCAATTTTGTGCATTTAGCAAATTGATATTTTTGAATTTTATGAATATAAATTCTGCATTAAATAAATGCTTTATTTATGTACAGGCATAGATTTTACAAGTAAAAAAAAAACACCTGTTCAATAATTTCCATTAGTTAAAATTTACTAGAGAAATACTTCATATTTCTAACTATGCTTTCTATACCCCCAGCTGAATTCACAAGTCACTGCAGTATGAGCAAAAATCCCCAAAGTTCTGTGCTGAAATCTCCATGGGCAGTATATGTCCCTAAAAACTTTTAAATTTGCTAGCTTCTTTTTAAAGCACTGTTTATGGTCAATATCGAAATAAATTCAAGAGTCAGCAAGAAATAAATAGTTGGGTCCTCAAAATAGAAATCACAAACTGTCTTTGTATGGAACAAACAGACACAAATATTATAAGCATTTCCATTTTAGAACTGTATATTCAAAAATAAACGTTAACAAAAATAATTTACTTCATAAATTTCACTGCTAAAATCTGTATGCATTGACCACTACAAAGTAAAGCAGACAAGTGGAAAGTGCAGTTAATTGCCAGAATCCCTTTACCTGTGTGCCAGCAGCACCCTGAAGGTCATCTGATTCAGTCCCAAACAACTTGACAGCAAGTCTGACCAATCCCAGTTCCATTCAGTAATGGTTGACTGTTGATACATGGCAAGAAGCTTTTGTTAGTTATTAATCAGTGTTAATATCATCAGTAAATTAAAGCTCCAGCTGTGACATAGTAACCATGAAGGAGGGGGGCCTAGAACAAGGGCTTAGACAGATGATATCAATCATGTCCACAGTAGAAGGTTTTTATTCCAGTAAGACAGCAACTAATTTACAAATCCATTTGGGAATGTAACCATTATTTAGAAAAAGATACATCAATTTTTTGAACCGTTATTCTTCCAACTGTTAATGGCATTCTGCCCAACCACTTTGTCTGAAAGCTTGACTCTTTGTTTGAAAAGCAAAGTAATTGGCAACTTTTTATGTAACAGCAATTTATATTTTCTGCTATCGGCAAAAAGTTTGTAATGAAAAACATAGTGCAGTTAGTTATTTAGTTTCTAAGTGTAACCTATATCTTAATTAGAGAAGGATGGGTTTACCTGTTTATTTTTCTCTAAGGCACTCTGTTCACCAGATTTTTATTATAAACACACCAGTAAGTCTACACTTAGTCATACAATTACTTACTCTTTATTTAATAAATAAAAGTGATGTATAATGATAGTGGGTAGACAAAAGACCACACACAACATTCTTAAGTTTTTAAAATAGTAACTCCTGTTGTATAATATTAATTTTAATTGTCAGCACTGATCAGCAAAGGAATCATTCAAAAATTATTACTGTAGTACCAAAATAGAACTGAGCAGTTTGAAAAAAAAAAAGATGAAGTCAGTCATAACAATGAAAATACAGCTAAATAAAAAGACAGAAGTGTGCCATGTATATCTTTTTCTTCTTACAGAAGAACTTGGTTCTTCTGGGACAGCAATTCCTCCAGGTAGTCCCTCTCTCCTTCCTCTCATCTTAATTTTATCCCCTTGTTTCTTCTCATTTAATTTTCTCACTAAAGCTCATCTCTGGCATGCACTTAAAAGTACCTTTCAAAAAGAAGGGTGAAGTACAGTCAGAGAGGGAGACAAGACTAGCTAAAGAGAGAATAATAAAGTGAAAGTGGAAAGTAAATGACGAAGTAACAGAATATCTGATAAGCAAGAAATAGAATGATCCAAGGGAGAAAACAGTAGGAGAATTCAGGGGAGAAAACAAGCAATTGTTCAATATTCTACAATAAATCAGAAATAGAAAAACAAATATGGAGGGAATGCCTGTAAAGTCAAGAACAATAAAAGGGAGAAGCTGAACTGACAGTATTAACAGTCATAAAGACATTTAGGAAAGTTTATAAGCACATAGGAGTTTTAAACTCAGTGTACCAGACTGATTTGTCCTGTGAAAAAGATACAGAATATAAAATAAAACCAAAAGAAATATAAAAACCAAAGAAATGAAACACCAATCAAACATGAAACCAAGCACAAAAACACTTTAGGAAAGGATAATTATTTCTTTAAAATATTTTCCTTTATTGCTACCGTTGAAGAGTTGTACAGGCTGGACTTAATCTTATTAGACAGTAGAGCAGCAGCACTGGCAGAGACTGAGGTGTCAGGACAAATTGATAAAATCAAGAGTAACAAGTTACTAGGACCAGATGGCGATTATTCAAAATTTTTGCAGGAATGTAAGAATGAAATAGCTGAATTGTTAACAGAAATGACACACTTCATAGAATCAGCTATTGAACTGAGGGTTGGAAGATAGGAAATTTACATATCTTTAATATAAATTGCAGTTGATCTCAAAATAGGAGGTCAGCGGCCTTTGTTTCAGGAACATTATAACTTGAAGAAATTATGATTAGGAAACTTGCCAAATATGGCATGTTGTGGATAAATTAGCAAAAATTTAGGACAGAAAAGTCAACCACCCTAAATAATGTACAGCAATTTTTACAGAGACTGAAAAGCAACACATTAAATATTTGCTATAAATTATCTTTCAGAAAATTTTGGAAATGATTTTCTTTAAAAAAATCCTCTGCTGGGGAAGTGAAGAGTATTTGCACTGTGCAGTATATCACAGTGTAATACAAGCATTCCTGGTCAGGACTCAGGTCTCACAGGAAGTATTGCCTATTCAAATTGGTTCTTCTGCAAGAAAAATAATTAAATGCAATATAGCTCACTGGCAAAAATATGCTGTGAAATCAGGATAGTTCCAAGACATGGAATTTACTGAGGAGCAAACATTATTTCCTGTACTGAAAATACACTGATTCACATTAGACTTAAAGAAAAATTGTCAGTTTTAAAGAAACTTCTCAGTTTCATGGCAGTTGTCAACCACTAAGAATGAATGTAAGAAAACTTATATTCCATGAGAAAAATAATTGTTCATTGCCCAGAAAGGTGGTAGGTGCTCATTGGAAGCATTTGAGGTCAGGCTGGACAGGGCTCTAAGCAATCTGACCGAGTTATAGATGTCTCTGTTCATTGCAGGGGAGTTGGACTAGATGGCCTTTAATGATTCCTTCCAAATCAAATGATTCTATGATTTCAGAGAAGTACTCTGGTATCAGACACTGAATTACACTGGCTCCTCCTTAATAAACTAAATCCCACACCACTAAATAAATGCACAATTTTGTAATAAAGGAAACTGAAGTACTTAATGATATTGTTAAGATCACAAAATATGCCCATTATTATGAACAACAGGGTTGGCACATGGTGCTTTATAAAAGCTCTGTGATCTATTATACTTTTCCTAATTCTAAAACACTTTCCTGTATTCTGATAATAGATTTTATGCCAAAGGTTTATAAAAATGTAAAGCAATTTAATACAAACTATCCATTGTCATGCACTGACTAATAGAGCACTGCAAACCTGTCATGTAGCAGAAAAATTCTATGCTGAGTTGCCACTACTTGAAGGTCTTAATCTAGCACACTATTAATGAATTGAGAATTGAGGCATGGTAAACTATTTTCAGAACTTCAGATGGGAGTAAAGTTACACCCTCTTGAATTCTGCCAAGCAAGCACTTTTAAGGAAAAGACACTTTAAAACATGTTCCTCTGGTGTGAGAAGCCTTGTGAAACTGGGACTAATCTCTTTTTTCAGGATATTACCAGTTTGATTGCGACATGACAGTGATTAAGCATTGATTAGACAAGTAGCAAAAAAAAAAAAAAGTAAAACATACATATTTTACTGCAATGAAGCTGATGAAATAGTTCAAAATGGATACAGTGCAAAAAGCAGATGATGCAATTTGAAAACAAAGTTGCTCCGGAAAATGGCATCTTTTGACCAAAAGTATGAAAAGTAATTGAATTTCATGCAGCTTTAATACATTCATTCTTAAATATTTGAAATTGTAGGGGAAGAATCAAAACTATGGATAATTGGTTAAGAAGCCTTGAGAAACTATGGTGAAAGAATTTTTAGTTGTCCAAATGCTTCCTGAAACTGCAATTCATTCTGTGAAACAATTAGTTATGTGGTTCTCTGGGAGAGATTTTGGCAACTAGATATATTCTCTTAAACTCTTATAAAATCAGGAAAGTGATTTCTATAGGTAATTTATAATCCTTTTCTTACCATTAGCATAGCTTATGCAAAACACAGAAATGCCTCCTTTCATGCCTTCTCCCCTCTCCCACTGACTCTGAGTTTTGAAAGTTTACATTAATGAACAGTAATTTACATTACTGTTCAACATTTCTGTGAAAGACTCATCAGGTAAGATTCTAAATATGCGTTCGGCATACTGCCATGACTTCTCAAAGGACTAAGGCTAGGCTAGCCCCATGTACCATTACACAGATATAATGGCGTATCATTGCTACTAATAGGTTTTTCTACACTATACAGAGCCAACACAGAAAGTTTTAAATTGCTCTTATATGCAGTAATTCTGATAAAAGAAAAAGACAATAATGGCTTTTCAAACACCATGATATTGTAGAGGCTGCCCTCATTAAATTCCTGAGTAAAAATATCCCTTTGCATTTCATCAAACTCGAACTCATGTAATCAATTCCTTTTTCATAACTTTAGTCTCTGTCATTATCACGATCATAATAAGACTGACAAATAAAAATTATACTATAACCACAGTTTCAGATTTTCACAAACCTGATTGAACACTTTCACACAAGACTGGCTGTGCACCTGGAAGGGGTTGAAGACAGCTTGCTCCTCTTTGCCCTTCAGTGTCAAAAGCAAGCTTTGATTGGAAGTTACATTCTCTTCAGGAGAATTCTCGTAAGACAGTTGCTCATTCAAATATTGCTTAAAATGAAAAACAAAAGAAACAAACAAAATAAAATGCATGGAACAATACACACCACCTAGTCTTGTTAGTGAAATCTGCCCAAATTTCAAGCATCATTTTACTATGCACTTGATAGAAATTCCTTATATTGAAAGAAGGAATAATAAATCTCTCTCAAAATACAAATCTTTTCAAGATTAACAAACAATAAATAACCACCCCCATGAATACCAAGTTGAAGCAAACCAAAATAATCTAAGCTATTGTTTTGAAATAATCATTAAGTTATGTTTATTTGTTCTTGGTATATTCATTAGGTATATGTAGAAGTGAAAAACAAATGTTTCCTATAAGATATCGTAATGTATTATAGCTATTCTTGTATATGAAAATGTACACCGTAATATTTGTTTATAAACAGCACTGCGTTGAATAATTACTACATAACTATACATGAATTGTTCAGTGAAAGTATCCAAATCGGTTGTTCAAACATAGGAGGTAAACAGTCTACCATTCTTCAGAGCCATTTTTGATTATTTAAACATTTGAAGATTAGAAGTCATCTGTGATTTACACGGCAATTTTATAAACTATAGTGTAGCAGACACATTATTCTTTTGGCCTGTTTTCACTTCTTAAACTCCTCTGTAAATAAACCATCACTGCATGCCAGAAAAGTGTTTTGATTAAATAGTACCATATTACAAAGAGCTACATAAAGAAACACAGGTCTACTTACTGGAAGGACTATTGTGATTAAACAGTTTATCACTATTAAAATTAAGTCCATAATGATAGGATTGCTATAACATTGAGCAAGTGCTCAAGGTGAGTCTTCATTAAGATGGAAGGATGCAAATATTATTTTGCAAAAATACTGAGCTAATAAAATAATTTCAGACTCAGGTGAGGGGGTGTGTAAACTACCTGCCAAGCCACTGAGCTTCTCAGTGGATAATTTCATCATCAGCTTAAACTGATCTAACTGTGGTCTGGCTTGAAAGGCACAAATTCCAAATCAATCCACATAGATTGTAGTTTTTTCTCCCTTGTGTTGGCACAAGCATGTGTTGTGAAATTATCCAGAAAAAAATAAAGGTTTCAACCAGATAAGCAAGCCATGTGATTTCTAGTATTTGTACAGAGGATGCCCTAGGACTGGGAAATCAGAGTCAAGATATAAAGCAGGTCTGTCTGTTGGTTGCAACCAATTGTCAGGACTGCTTAAACAATCATGAAACCATCTAAGTGTATTTAAAAAAATAGATCTCCGTGCTTTTTTAGTTTAAAAAAACATTGTAATCCAGATGTGCAAATGTATCTTCAGTCTTTTACCTATATTTTCCCAGCCTTGAAAAGTTTTTTTTCCTCTTTTTCTCCATTCATTAATCTGTGCCATAGCAAAGATTTCTTAGTCGTAATAAGGTGGGGTGACTTAAATGATATTTCTACGTCTACACCAACTTGACTTAAAGTACCACCTCATAGGGATGTATTTTCTCAATTCTAAAGCAACTCAGACATTTGGTTGTCACAGCTCCAGCAGAAGAATCTGTTGTCTTTTCAGAAGAAAGTTGGAACTTGCTTATGTCATACGTGGTATAGATTTGAATGTATCAAGTGGCTTAATTCCCAACATAGCGATTTTCATTTCTTTCAACTAGAATCATAGAATCATAGAAAGGTTTGGGTTGGGAGGGACTTTTAAGATCATCTAGTTCTAATCTCCCTGCTATAGGCAGGGACATCTCCCACTAGACCAGCTCGCCCAAAGCCCCATCCAGCCTGGCCTTGAGTGGTTTCAAAGAGTTGACATTCACAGCCTCACTGGGTAGCCTCTTCCCTTACTCGCAAGTAAGTATAGTGCTTACTACTGTACTATAGATTTATATTTTTTTGACAAAGAGACTTAATCAACAGTGGTAAGTGCATTAGTTTAAGGACTGCTATGGTGCAATACACACTGTAGACCCAGAAAGGCTTGTGTTTCAAAAAAAGTGAGAACAAAAAAATGAAATCATAATTGTAATCAAGTAAATTGTATCCCTTCTACTTATGACTGCACAGGAAACAAACCAAACAGTATTAGTGAGCTAGGCAGCTCAGGAGATTTGGTTTTCCTTTGGCAGCCATTAGTGAAAATTAGCTTTAAAAATAATTATTCTTCTTGATAAATACATACCTTCATCCATAGACCATTTTGAGCTCTACAGTATCTGTAATAGATCTTTATTACATTTATTTCCAAACATAGCTTCTAAGAATTTATTCATCTTCTCCCCTGCCTTTCTAAGGAAAATTATTGAGCCACAATTTTCTGTCTCATCATTTTGTTCTCTATTCACCTGCAATTATTAATCATTGTAGCAGAAAGATCTCCAAACTCAATTTAAGAACATGACCTTTGGCAGTCCAAGGAGTCTAAGAAGGAAAGCACAGACCTTCTAACAGGCAATCCAGTCTATATTTTGTTGTTGTTGTCAGCTGCATTTAACAATCTAAAACATGAAAGATAATACTGAAAAAGCATAATATTATGCTAAGTACTAAAATGTGTTGTAATTGTTTCAATAGATGAGTGGAAGTAACATTCTTATATCCTATGCTGATCAGGATTTTTTTTATTATTATTTTTTTTTAAGTCAAGACAGGTTTCTTCCACTGAGAAATGTTCTATTTTTAATGCAGCTCTTACTAAGAGCACAAAATCAAGGAGAGACACCTGGGATGTGGAAAGATAGGCTAAGGTCCCTCTTCCATCTAATTCTCTCAGCCTTTCACCTCCTATTGGAGCTGCTCCACTTTGTATAAATAACTGAATACTCAAAGGATTCAGATCTTGATTCAGGGTCTCCAGAACCTGATACGGGCATTCTACCTTTTCAATTAGAATATGATTCCATCTTTGACCACAGAAGTTGCAGAATGGATTTTTATAGCAATTTCTGAAAAATGAAACAATTCCATTAGGGGAAAATGATAAAGTTCCACACTGTTAGCTAAAGCTCTATCAGTTTGGGCATTTAGTTTGGATATAGATAAAGGATTGAGCCTGCATATCTAGTCCCTTTGGTGACTGCCCTACCTACTGCATTATGTGCTATTTTAAGAGGTCTTGCTCACAATCTTTTCTTCACTTTATTATACTAGGAGTAATCCTGAATGTGCTCCAGGTGAAAAGGTTTTGTTTGAACTGTATTACAGTGATAATTTTCACTTCACTTCATGAACCATTTAATTGTTTGAGATGAAACTTGAAAAGACTCTGTATTGTATTAATATTAGGTTGCCATCTCTACATACATGCTTATATTGCTTCTAAAAGTTCAAAATGCAGATGTGAAAAGTTTGCTTTTAAGCCTGTTCTTAGGAACTAAACTGTTGATCTGATTTTCAGAAGCTGAGCATCTTTATTGCTTTATACTCACCTACCTAATTGGTTTTTGCTATCAAATTTTTCTAAGTCTTGGACTATGCCTGTATTTGCATTATTTTGCATTTTATTATAAACACTTCTGTACACTGGAAATGATCTTAACAGCCCCTGCTTATGCATTCAAGGAATAGTAATTTAGTAATTAAAGCTAATGAACAGAACTTTCTTAATTAAACTGTGTAGATCTGTGTTATCATACAACTTAAGCAAACCTGTGTTTACTTCAGTGTACATAACAAGAACGCTTCTGGTAACTTGTGTCAGTTTAGTACAGCCTCAGAAATAATGAGATAATTATTTTATCTTGCCCAAATTCCATGGTAGCAAACAAATCTGAATTTGTTCACTGTAATTTTGAAAGTACTTTAACTAAGCAGAGTTCTGTAGCTGAAGCAAGGTTTCCATTTGGATTCATTTGCTCTCTCAGTGCAGCCATGGGGTTTGTTTGTTTGTTAAATCGGAAAATTGATTTACCACATTTAATTATACTTCCTGTAACAGCCAATTTTTCAATAGCTTTGCTGCTTTTTTCAGTTATTATTATTTTTAACTGTGCTTAAACTTTTAAAATGCATTTGCCACCTACAGTACAAACCTAAAGGAAGTTTATGTGCCATAATACTGTTTGAGTACATAAATAAAATCTACTCTGTTTTCTCATAATCATCCTATATCAACATAGAAAAGCCTGAACCGAATGGATTCTATTACAGTACAATACAGGATTTCATATTGACTTTAAGAAGCATTATCACCTCCTTGACTAACCCTTAGCTGCCAGCAGAAGCTGCCTCAGGCCAGTACACACCTAATTGCTCGGTAAAAAGGCCGTTTCCCTACCTCATTGAGCCGAATGATGTGATAAATTTGCCTCAGGTACTTGCTGCCACCTGGTTTGTGGCAGATATCCAGGACCATCATGTTTATTTTCTGCTCAGTGAATCCAAATGCAATGCCTTCTTGCTCTAACACTGCACCTTCTATTGGATCCGGGCCACTAGAATATGGAAAATATAAAGTTATCCTTGAATTTCTAAAAAATCGAAGTATTAATGCAAAGAGAGCTAAAAATACATATAAAATACAAATAAATCTTTGGCTTGCGCAAAACAAATGTTGCTACACACATTTCTGAAACCTTTACACTAATAAATGCTAAACAGTTAAATGCTGATTAAATACAGTATTTTTTAATTACATGAATTTTAACAATTTTTATCAGAAAGATTGAAAACATAAAACATTCTTTACTCTAAGGGCATACAAAGAGCAAATATTTTATTATTTTCTTTTCCACTAGAGAAGTATCTCTGCTACTAGGAATAGCATTTGCATTCGATCTTTTGTACATTTTTCTTTGCCTGTCACCGCTCATATTAAAGCCTAATTAACATGTCAGAAAGGTAGCCATTACTTTAAGTATAGGTTAGAAATTTCAAAATGAAGTCTTTTTCTTTCCACTGGTATAATGGTAACCATTTCAAAGGTATATTTCGCCACTTGTTGCACATTCTGCACTGTATTTTTCCTTGTTTTCCTTTTCTTGTTTTCTGTCTAATTGCAAACAAACGAACAAAAACAACAACGTGATGGTGACAGGCCTAAAAGCCCTGAAAAACGTTCATTTGAAACTCTGGCCATTATTAGACTGCTGTCTGCACAAAAACATAAGCTCACGGCTCTGTAGTTGCTTAGTGTTATAGTGTTATAGGTAAAGTATAAGAAAATACTACAAAGACTAATTATTCTCTTCAAATATTTGAGTTGCAACCACCAGATGTATGCTGGTATCCAAACATGTCAAGAACCTAACAGACCAACAGAATATATTATGCTTTCTACAATCATTATACGATTAACTTAAAATCTACAATAGAAGCTTTCGGGCTGAAAAAACCCACAACATTTTACTTTGGAACTGTCAGCTTGCAGTGTATGGCCGAAAATGTCCCATGATTACAAAGTTAGTTCTTCTCAGAGTTGTTGTTTGACCTGAAGGCTCACTTAAATTCTGCACGGCTGACACTGCTTCCACATGCTGCTTCAGAACTTCCTACAGATCAAACAGCTTCAAAATATAAACTATAATTTTGTTCTTTGCTGAATGGAAGTAAATGATACTCTGTTATTATGGTGTATTTTACAGAAAAGCTTCACAGAAATTGATCTTCAAAATTAAAGCACACTTAAGGCTTATCTTTCAATGCCACATATAGCTATAACCTGAATCTTGTCACACTTCTCAGAGATTGACATTGAAAAAGTTGAGGACCTCTGACAAAGGAGTGTATCAGTGTCAGCACCCAAATTGTATCCTTTCCTGCCCGTCAGTGTGCAGGTGAAGCAGATGATTGGATTCAGTCAGTGCTATGATTAATGAGTTCCTCTCTGGATTTGGGACTGCCTATCAATCATGTCATTAGGAAGAATGTGCCCTGAAAGAGGCAGACCTCAGCCAAGGAATAACTGCATTCATCTTAATCTGTGTATGCACCCAGCCAGCCAAGTCAGGGTCACCATGATGAAAAACAATAATCTTCAACTCAACAAATTACTTTCCAAAGACAGGCATTTCTCCTCTTTTTGGGCAGTGTGCTCTTCAGAATCTAACGTGACTGTTTACAGCTCTGGTGATACTATGAAGTGAAGGTTATTTTAATGAATAGTAATGCTTTCAGGCAGTGCACAGGACAGCCAGTGCATACAACTGCCACTTTCTGAACCTTTCCCCGCATTTCTCTTTTCTCCTAAAAGGTAAGTTGAATATTTATGCCAAAATGGATGAACCTGTATCACTTTCACAACTTTATGCTGTCAAGTCCTGATAACAACACAGTAACATAAAATCACGTGAGACTTTCTCTTATAAAAGTCTAGCATGCTTCAATGTTCTTCTCCACAACTGGGTCTGTGAATCACACATGTATGTTTAGATGGTTTTCTTTTTATTTTATTCCACAGACTGTGGGTATTTGTTCCGCATACTGTATGTATTAAAGGTCTATAAACATTTATTAACATATATATAAATGCATGTATATACATTTACTCACAAAATCAATTACTTGCGAAAGGGTTATATAGACCATAATTTTACTAAGATGTAGATTTTTAGATATAACCATTCCTATTTCAAATTAATCATATAAACACCACAATGGTCTTCTTGAAAGATCTTTTTCTCTAGTGACTATGTGACTGTTACCTAGTTTAAATATTTGAAGTTCAGATTTAATTTATTGGTATTACAATTTGTGTGTATAACAATATTTTATTTCCACACTGCATATCTCACCTTTTAAATACATTTTTCTTGGAGTAACCAAGTCACACTTCTTGAATATAAAATAGAAAAATAACATTTATGCAAGGCTTCTATTGCAGAAACACTTCTGAAATCAGAAAACAGTTTCCTAACTGCAAGATGTATCTACTCCCTCAGAGAACAAGTAATATGTTCTCCAGTTCTGTATGCTTAAAATTATGAGCCCTAACCATAAACTGGCTCTCGCTTTGAGAGACACTGTATGCACACACAAGAAATATTTTTCCAGTGTCTCATGGCTGATGTGAATTAAAAATTATTGCATTTTTTGTTATATCTTAGAAAATGAAATTGACTACTACATGAGAATTCTCAGCTTCAAATATTAAAGCTTCAGTTTTTAGAGGTCATTCCAATCTTTGTCTTACCCTACATCTGCATTATTTAAAAGACATCTATTCTCAGTAAGTTCGATTGCATTAAAAAAAAATTCTGTTAAGTATTTCCAGATTTTATACATTATCATGTGTTTATTTTATCCTATGACTGTTTCAGTGGCTGGCATCTAGCTTCAACCTGCTACCCAACCGATTAGAGAATTTGAGTTAAATGGAAATGTAAAAGAACACAAAACAACCTTACTTTCAGTTGTCAAACATTAAATTCACTAAGAGAGGTAACTCCTATAAATCTACTACTGGGAAGCTGATGAACAGTGTTTTTATAGAATGATACACCACTTCAACGGTAAACAGGACTACAAATACATTGATGTGCACAGAACTCCTTGAAAACTCATTATAAGGATTTAAAAACTTGGACCTAAATGTCAAATCTGCAGGGAAAGTTGGTATTTCCTCAGAAAAGCATAGCAGGGTAGTTTCCTTGTCCTGTTTTGATACGCCCTACTTGCCCGTAGGGCTAGATGTGTTTTAAAAGGAAGTATGCTTACTTTCTAATCTCAGATGAAGATGGAAAGCCTGTTATAGTCTGTCTTAATTTAATCACTATAGCAAAACTCATTTATAAATGCTCTGGGTTGCCCTCTAGTCAGCATACTTGTTAGAATTCTGAAAGATACACCATCTAAACTGTCCACACTTTTGGTTAATTATGAACACATGAGAAAATATGAAACATAATAACATGAAACAAAATATGAAATACATGAAACATTTTAAGTACTATGAAAATACTGTTAAGATGAAATAACTACAGCTTTTTCAGCCACACAATTAACTTGCAAAAATTTACCATAAAGCCATCAATATTAAGATGTAATTCATTTCATGTAATATAAGATCACTGTCCCTCTAAATATTTTTTAAATTGAACAACAGCCATGAACACGTCATTAATTCAGTAAAATAAAGAACAAAACCAGAACTTCAAAAATACTGCATTCTTACCAGTCTGTGCTCAGTTTTCTTGCCTTCAGCAACTGACTTTCAATCCAGTTTGGTCTTTGCTGTTCTATGCTCTGTATAACCTTCTGGGTCACTTGTTTAGGACCACTTTTCTGTTTTCCCATAATACTTTCTAAGCACACACGAACTAAACTGAGTTTTTCTTTGCTCCATCTGTCAAGTGTTGCACCTGTTAAAAGTTCTGCAGTATTTCCATCCTCAAATATCCGACATATAATTACAATCAAGTTCCAGACAAGCAGACCAGCTTTCTTCAATTCAGCAAAGTTTCTTGACATTTTTCTCTCAGCCAGAAAAAAGAAGTACTTAATTGGGGGAGGCAAACATGCAATCACTGTAGGTAACTTGCTGATTACAATAGATACTGCCTGAGCTGCAAGCCTTGTGAAGCCTTAAAAAAGACATAAAAGAAGATATGATTAACATTAACATTCTAGTTCTATCACAGCATGTTTCTGAATATTGTCTGATAATTTCTAACTTTCTTTTGTACTGAAAATGGGTAAGAAGCTTAAGTACTCAGCACTGTGGCCTGACTCGTGTTATACCTCCCATATATATTTCCCCCCAAATCTAAACAATAACACAAATTAAATAGAGAACCTAGAAAAACTTCACACTGTGACTATGTTAACAATTATTCTTACTGCACACAGCTAATACAGAATAAATGAAGTAGAAAACATCCAGGTATTCAGAACAGTAAAAACAAGCTGTCTTCAGAACTGTAGTGCAACATTTTTTCCAAGAGTGGAGCATTGCAATAAATGTCTCAGGACATTGCATTTATTCATATTGTTTTCCATCAGTTCTTTTTTGTGTTCAAACCTACAAAATTACTGTATTTCATATGAGAAGCATGCATACTACATAGCACTCCATTTTAAACACTGCAGATGCTATCAGAAGCTATAAAAGCAACTACAGAAAATACGCTAAATATGCTAGTATGTTAAAAAGTTAATAGTATATATAAAATGAAAAACAAGGAACTCAAAGATAATCCACAATACAGATTCAAGTGTGGATTAAACAAAAAAACAATATGAAAACAGCAGTCAAGCAAAGAAACCAAGAAAACCATAAGTCCATTCTACTTCTAGTCTCAACTAGTAAAAAAAAAAAAAACAAACAGAAAAAAAAGTTACGAATTTTCTGTGTGTCACATAGCCAGTTTAACTTGTCACCAGCTCTGAGCTCTGCCTCTCAGTTAGTCACATGAAACCAGTTATATCCTGACAAACACTTAAATAAACAAACACAAACCCTACAAGAAAGAAGATGCTTGGAGTCTGTTTTTCTTACTGTTAAACTGCAATTTTTCTACAAGCATAAATTTCACCCACATTTCCCGGATTCCTTCCTCTTCATTTCCCGAGGTGTATAATTCCACTCCTTTGGAACTGTCTTCAGTAAACTTTCAGGAACAATTTGTTTGTGCTGATATGTTCCATAGTTTTCTGTTGCTTCCCATGAATGCATCAAAGAAACGATCTGCTTAACTATACCCTTAACTGAATTAATCAATATCAGCTTCAAGCATCTGATAACCTCTGGCTCTGAGTCGCCACAACTGGAAACTTCAGAAGAAAGAATTATTAAATATTCAGTAAGCGTGCAGTCATTTCTGCAAATCTGTTTCAGAAATAAGTGTTTCAGAATTCTTACAGAAAGGAAACTAACGATATTATGATTCAAAATAATTGACAACTGTCAGCCTGTTATAAAGTAAAGAAATAGTATAAAGTAAGACAATGTAGCATTTTGTACACTCTTAATATAGTAACAAAAAATACAATTTCAGTTATTTCTTTTTTTTTTTGGCCTCTGTCCCCCATCAAGATATTTCTCAAAATTTAATCTGAGTAGTTTCTTTCATTTTAATTGAAATAAACTTAATCACTGGGTAGGCATTAATGAATGGAGCAGATTTACAGTGTTAACACAATGGCAATTGTTAGGTAGCTATACTTTTCTTAGAGAAGAGCAAAAGAGAAATGATACTTCGGTAATGAAAATGCATAAAAATAATAGACATCAACAGAGACACAGTATGGTATCAGAGACTGTATGTCAAAAATAGAACATCTTAAATACAGTTATTGACATTACAAGTATCAATCTTCTCCACATTCTTACCACAGAGAATAGTAGTTTCTCCACAGCAAAAGAGCAGCAGTTGTCAGGCAGGATACACCAGCAATGTTTTCTGATGTTTCCTACTAAGGTCCTTTGCCCTAATTTTTGCTTATCTGTGCTTTCTGATGATCTAAGTTTTATTCTTCTCTACACAGTCTTTCTGAAAACTTCCACGAAAAATTCTGTATTTCTCTTCTTCTTTCAAGTGTTAACTTTCCTCTTTTTGAAATCCCATTTTTCTCTAAGGAATGCCTGACAACTTCTGCAACTGTTTTTTATTTTATGGTATTTGTTTCTGTATTATTATTCATACCTTCACTCATTTTCTTCCTTTTTTTTCTTGTGAACTCCTGATTTTTTTGCATAATTTGTAAAACCATTGTACTAAATGCCTCTCTTTCATGGTTGAATACTGCTTTTCCTTGTGGGCACCACTGGTTGCCATCATCACATGGGCTGTTCTCACCCACCATCGAAAATTGGCAGTCTGCCTTTTGTCAGCAGTGTTTACATGCCCGCTGTACTACGGCTCCCTCAACAGTAGTACTTTCTCTACTTTTTCCACTCCTTGTGGAAAACTCCTTGGAGTTATTAAACTCACACAGACAAAGAACCCATGTCAGTAAAGATCTACAGAAACTGATGCCAACCTACTGGTGAAACAGACAATTACGTGAAAAATATGGAAATTTAGTTTAGAATAACCTCTCCTTCCTTCAGAATATCCACCATTCCTACAGGAATCTGACTGCTGACAACACTTTAGCTATAATTTAGTTTTGAAGGAACCTACAATCACTTTATCAGATTTATTAAAGTAAAAATAATATGCATGACATGTCTGAAAACTGACATCAAACTTAAAGTATTTTCTAGTAAACAAAATACCTGTCATATTGTATAAGGAATCCCACAACTGTTCTTTTTCCATGTAGGCCTCAAAAGCAATGCCAAGTGATTTGGGTGATAAAATGCAGTCAGACAATATAGTAAAGATAGTTTCAGTCAGAGTAGGCTCCTTGTTATTTATCTCATCTAAGGGAGAACTTTGTTCATCACCAATGAATACTTCACTTCCTTCAAAGTAAAAAAAAAAAACATTGTTATAAAAATGTACTACCACAAAATTCAAGTCATATAAATATTATCAATCAAAACAAACTGAAAACTGTATCTGAAAAATGTACTAATACTTACAGATACTGAAATCTGATGTCCTTAACATAATGACAGTTGACCATCTTCCTGAATTGTATGTAGTCATTAAAAAAAGATACAAGCATATTCACAAACTATGGAATATGCCTGTATAATTCAAAATACCATTTCTAAATAATATGAATTTGCTTATTTACTCAATAATAATCATAAGTAAATTGGACTACTTCCACAGAATCACAGTCAGAAAGTTATTTCTGCATCACTTATCTAAGGAATATATAGTTGTGAAATTATAAATTGATTTTGTTATACAAAATAAAATGAAACAGCAGCTGCGTACTCACCAAAAAAAGGCTTGGATTTGTTTTTTTAGTTGAAGATGAACTGAGAAGAAATCATTTCCCAAAACAAAATCTCAGCTATGCTAAGATATAGGCTGCTATATTTCTGACTGGATGTTAAGAAAAATTTCTTTTCAAAAAGAGTGGTAGTGAAGTCATCATTCCTTGAGGTGTTCAATGCATGTGTGGGATATGATTAGTGGGCATGGTGGGGATCAGCTGACAGTTGAACTTGGTGCTCTCAGAGATCTTTTCCAACCTTAATGATTCTAAATTTCTATGTGCTTTAACGTTAATTACTATTGTCCAAAGATTTGAGGGGTAACTTGTTACGTAGTATTGACTTGTATATGCTTTTAAAAATCATTATAAAACATTTTTCCACCTAGAGAAAAATCATATGTTTAAACCTCTCTTTGAACTAATGCAACTCAATGGCTTTAACTTGTGCTAGTCAAAAGTGAATTCCCTTCTTATGTTAATGACCATAACAATTGACCAGAGCCAGCACCAACTAAATAACTTTATTCAACTGTCTAGTCTGCAAAAGAGAGTTTATATAACACTGGTTTATATTAAAAATATGCTTGAAAATGTCAAATCATGCCAGTTTTGCAACCTATGCAAGAGGAAGATAGCCTCAGTATCTAGTATCCTTCTTTCTAGTGGTTCGAAAAGCTTTCCAAATTTACCAGTGATAAATGACTGCTTTCCACCCAGCTTTGTGAATGAGTAGATACTGTTGTAAAATTCACAAATCCCATTTTAATCTCCTCTGAAATCCTACCAGTTAATTCACACATTACTGTAAACTGTACAGTCTTAGTATTCCACTCTAACTGAAATAGTCCACCGAATGCAGGAAGTTGAAGAATAAGACCAATCGTTTCATAATCAGAAAGCTCTCTTTCTCCCTCCCCCTTCCAAGGCTGAAGAGATTAGCCATAAGATTTTTGTTTAGTCAGCTTTTCTCCTCATATGCTCAGAGAGCTGGCATATTTTGCTGAGACATATTTCAATGCCACCTGCTCCTGAGTGAAGAGTCAAACTGATCCCACTAATGTACTCAAACCAGTCATACGTTGTCTAACATAGACAACCAAGAAAGCAGAAAAAGCAGTTCAAAAAAAGGAAAGGCATTCAAACTTAAATAATAAGATGAAAATTTGAAATGAATTTTCATTATAATACTGAGCATAGTTTTTTAATTAATTTAACCAAACTCCAGGAGGGAGTTTGGTGAGGTTTTAGACACTGCGTAGACTGTTTTTGGAAAACAAGATGGAAGATTGCTTTGTTTAAAGAGATTAGTGATTTGATACCAAAATCAATTTTGTTTAATGCTGGTGGGACATGGAAATTTCAGGGTACAATCTCTTAAACTTCTCTAATGAACTTGGTGATATCAATGAATTCTGGAAAATAAAAAGAAGTACAAGATAATTCTGTGGGGGTTTTAATACATGTACATTCTTATAATGAGTGTATATGTTGTTCTTTTAAGAAAAGATCTTTCAGAATCCACTGGGAAACCATTCTGAGTTTGAACATTAAGAGAGATGCACATTTTCATCAGCTTTTCCTTTTTAAAAAATATTACCTCCATATTGTATCAAGAGAAGGTGTGTGACTTTTGACAAGGGCTCTACTATCATCCAAAGGAATATTCCTATTTAATACTTCAGAAACTCTATAAAATCTCTTTATTTTTTCCTCTAGCTTATCCCTGAAAAATCAGCAAAGTAAGTAGCATATCTGATTAAGATCCTTTTTGCCATTGACCTTTCAGCTACAACTACTTCATTCCAGCACTTTTTTTTTTACCACACTGGTTATTCAAGTACAGTATCCACCAGAGTTAACTGGCCAGACAGGTATTTTGAGGAGACATTCCTTTTATAAAATAGTTTTCTAATCTTTTGATGTTTGGCTGGCACGATACAATTTGCAAGAAGTGAAGAAAACTTTGAGGTGGACTAGAGTCTATTCTTGTCAGGACTGCATTTAACTCATACTGAATAGTCCAAAAATATATGGAGCACTGATCTACCTCTGCACACGTATATCAGTTCCTCTAAGAAACATGCTGTGCACTTCTAATGAGGACAGTGTTACACGCTAAACTCCAAGTTTAGCAGTCAAAAAACCTGCAACTACATTTCTCCAAAACCATGTGTGGCAGAACCACAACAGTAGTATTTTTTTCAATTGCTCATAAGATTTTGACTCAGGATTATTAAATCCAAGCAGTTTTTGTAAGTACAAAAATAACTACCTTGCAATGCTTGAAACAAGTTTCAGACTTAGCCAGTGCCAAAGGTTTCTTTATGGAAACAATAGTTCACTTCAGAGAGTACATTTTCTTTTACAACCATTTGCTATTTTAATAAAAGCTCAGATTTGTGAGGTCAGTTGATAAAGTTATCACCTTTCACTCACTTAGAGCAACTCTGAAAAAAAACCAGTATACTTTAACATTAATGCTGCAACATGCATTGTGGCAGTTAAAGAACCACATCACAAAGGGCATTGAGTAATTGGAGTGGGAAAACTCCAATTCCACACATATATTTTCAAGTCATCTCTCTTCATAGCAACTAGTTCATAAAAACTCAGTCTATGAAGACTCTTCATATCTATTAGTGCCTAAGAAGTTGGTTGATATTGCACCGCATAATTTTATTTTCTCAGTGGAAATGCTCCCCTCCCTGCCTCCTTTGTGTGTGCAAGGCAAATTATCTCATTTTGAAGCAACTCACATTTCTTTGAGTCCATTTACATATTTGCAGCCTTAACTGATTACTTAGTATTTTCAAATGCCACTATCAGTTACTATTTCAGGGTCTGCATATCATCTAGTTTTAACTGTATGGACTATGCAAAAACAACTTCTGTTAGTCTTTGCAATAATTCATTAAGCAAGCCAAAAACATTAGGCAAAACTACCAGTGGCCTTGCCTTACTTTGAAAGCAGTTTCCCATTGGCATTAATTCTGTCCTCGGACAGTGAAGCTTAATACAGCTACTGCTTTTTTTGCTTTACTGCCTGAAGAATAACTCCTGGTTCTTGGCAATAAAGACTCACAAGTGAGAAGTCAAAGACTGTTCTGCTGGCATCGCAGAATGACAGATTCACAGAATTGTAGGGGTTGGAAGGGACCCCCAGAGATCATCGAGTCCAACTCCCAAATGGCATGCCATACATTTACAGCAGTCTACCAGAATGTTCCGTTTACTTTCACTTTTCCCTTTTTGATTTCAGCATCTTCTGGATTCAGTAACTCATATTACGCAAGCATTATTTTCTTTATTCCTCTATTATTTATTTCTTGTCAAAATAATCAATTTCTGTATCATCCCAATGGATGGTAGAGTAATTCTGGTAAAAAAAATCCACCAGGAAAATTGCAAAACTGTTTGCTTTGTCAGAAAACTAAAACAATACCCTGTATTCATTGTTTCTCCCCACAGAGGCATAGCAAAGGCCTGTGGACCCTTAGCTCATTCAATAATATGTCTTAAAATATTCTAAATGTTATATCCAGAAAAAATAATTTTAAGTACATATTTTATTGTAATTAACAGAAAAGAAATATAGCTAGATTATTTAGACCTCTAGTTTAAGTAATAGAGGTCCAGTATCCAAATCCAATTTTTCAGCTACTTTTGTAAAGGTGCTCTTTCCCCAGTGATTATACTCACTGGACACAAATAAGTGATTCAATTCAGGGTATCTTGATTTATCACTTTATATATGTTTGATGTGGTAACTTTATTTATGAGGAGCATCCCACTTTTATGTATATTTTAAGTAGGTTTCTCTGAAAGTAATGTCTCCTATTTATTTCTATAGAAAATACTACAAAGAGCACAATAACGCTATATGACAGAGCAAACTGCCAGCTGCAAAACACTATTTTTCAAGAAAGTCACCACCACCACATATGCATTTTGAACTCCAACGAGAAAGAGCCTGCATGCCATCCTTGTAAAATTGTGCACCACATGATCTGAACCACTGTTTCACAGCTAGTATGATGGCAACTGTTGCCCAAACAATCCGTCACTGGACTGCAGTCCATCAGTCCTTTAGCATGAACAGATAGAAGCCAGAAGGTGCCAAATCTAGACTATATAGAGGGTGTAGAAGAGTCCAGCCAAGATTGCCAGTGTGCTCCATCGTGTTCAAACTGGAGTTGGGCCCTGGTATTATCATGTTGCAAATGAAAGGCTCTCTTCTCTGGCCTGATTCTGGAAATTCTACTCTTTAGCTTAGTCAAGCTCATGATACAGCGGTCAGAGTTGATGGTTTGTCCAGGTAGCAGTAAATCCAGAAGGATCACCCCATTCCTATGCCAAAAGAAAACGCACATCGTTTTACTCTCTGCAGGCTGAATCCTGAACTTTTTTCTTTGATGGGGAATTCACGTCACCACTCCATGGACAGCTGTTTTGACTCTGGCTTGTAGTGGTGACATCACGTTCTCCAGTAACAGTTCAATCCAGGAAATTGTCACCTTCAGCCTTGTACTTGTTCAATAGGTCCTGACAAACTTCATATGGTGTTCTTTCTCCTGTGCGGACATACGTGGAACTCGCCTAGTATAAACTATGATTTCCACTGCTGCCACAATCATTTCCAATGCACTGAAGCTGATATTCAGATCCATACAAAATTCCCTGGTCATAATCCACCAATTTGTGCAGATTAGCTAACAGTGACATTGTTCACATTGTGGTGTGACAGCTGTGAATGGCCCTCCAGATTGTACCCTGTCTTTCACATTGCTGAACTGCACCACTCACCACTTCACAGTGCTCACGTACATTGTTTGGTCTCCACCAATGTTCAGCAAATGTCAATGAATGTCTTTGGGTGTCATTTTATCCACGTGGAGGAATCCAGGGGCACACCTATGCTTCATCCACATTTCCATGTCAGATACCATTCTGTTAGACTGCCCCTCTGCTGCCATCTCTCGCATGGCAAAAAAATGTAACCAAATATTGGTGGGAAGGTTCAACCTTTACTGGCATACCATCAGCATACAGCTCTGATGTTGTAGACCAACATAATTAAAGCAGCATTGCTTATATTTGCATATACAGTTTCAGTGGCTTCAACAAATACAATAATCCATTTACATGATTTATCAACACTAAATGATGCATCCATGTATGCCCTAAAATGCCCTAAAATCTCAACAGTACTCCATACCGTACGAAGGAAAATGTTACTCCTGACCTCAGGAAAAGAAAGTGAAAATGCCTTTCCAGTTCAAAAAATAATCAAGATAAAGATCATGGAGTTTTGTTATCAGCATGGCAAGTCACTCAAAAGCTATTAAGTACTGAACTTTTTATGTTTTTACGCATAATATTAAGCATTGCAACATTTTACTGTTGATGAGTACATAACTCTGGAAGCCTTTGATCTTACAGAACAAAAGAATCCTAAACTGTCATTACTAGTATCTAGGTATAGCTTACTAGACTTACTTTTCTTGTATTATATAACAGATCACAGTATCAAAAATTTTAGCTTATCTATCACCAGTTAAGCTGTTGCATAGGAGAAGGAATAAAAACTATAATCATTTTAACATTATATAATTAACCTTATTGAAATTAATTTACAAGATATGGATGATTGCAGGTTTCAACTTTATCTAAATTGAAATTTTAATCATATCAATACTGAAATTATGTTAATAAAGTCTGCGTAAATGGCACATTTTCTAACTCATAGCAATATATATTTCACTGCAGCTCAAGAAGTTGGCCAGTAAGTAGACGAAAACCCATACTGTCACTTGATCCTTCATTCTAATTTAAGCAGCCAGTGAAATTCAGTACTGTATAACAGTAGGATAAGAATATGATTCTGATAAAAAAATTCTTCAGTCTTTGTAAAATATGACAGTCACTTCAATGGGCAAGTGAATGCAGTGCAGCTCTTAATAAGATGCATTACATAATTGGAAATAACGTTGTATCCCTGAGAAATGTTAGACCACCCTAAAACAAAATAATTAAATTGTTACATACTATTATGTGATTTCATAGTTTGACATGTAAGGAAAATTATTTTGCTAAAGAAAGACTGCAACTGATATAGACTAATTCAATATTGATGCAAAATTTTGTCAAATGGGTGATTATTCCACTAACTTTTCAATGATCTGATCTGATGTAAAAGCTATTAGGAGGAAAGATGTGATAAAGTTTTATGTTTCAAACAACAACTAGTAGAAATATAAGGAACAATTATTTTCTTTGTCCTATTTCCATAACAACATTAATGATAGTATTAACATGGGAAGGACATAAATATACTGCCATAATACCTACAGTGACAAACATATAGCACAAACAAAACCTCTAAGAAGCTTTTCACTGTAGAAACATAATTTTGAGGGTGATCTTTCAGAATATTAATCCTCACCTTTAAAAATCTGCATAAAACACTTGTGGTATCAACGCTCTGTTAAGTTCAATTTCACTTAGACTCCTTTACATTCATGATATCAGTTTATCAAATTGTAGTCTGCTTTGAAACTATGAATACTCAAATTGACAAAAAAGAAATCTCATTAAAAAAGCAATAAACCTTTCTTTTTCTTTACTTTCTCGAGAACTGTCCAACTGGTAACTGGTATCTGAAAATATTTGAGTAGTTAAAAATGAATTTGTGTTTCTCAGTGATATTCTTGTAAAGATCAGCAGCATAAGTACTTACTTGAACTTTTCAGTAAAATTCTCACCAAGAGACAATCATTATACAGCAAGGTTTCCAAGAGCAAGTTCAAATTACAGTATGGCTGGGATAAGAGCAGTTTCAGTTGACCTTGGGCTGCCATTTCTCTGGCTGATGGACTCCTTTCAAAATGCAAGATAAAAACAGCATAATGTAGTTAATTTATCTATGAAATTAATATCCTTAAAGTGCAGATGTAATGCTAACTCCCTTAAATGTCAATTCCTCCCAGATTAGTCTGAAAATGCTTTCATGATTGCTTACTTTAAGGCAGCTCAGGGAAGGAATTACATTTAATCTCAACTAGCTAAAAGCAAATTAACATTTGGTAGTCTGCCAAAGTTATAACTGATATAAAGGAACTTCACTTATCTCTTTCACGGAAACATGTACAGCCTTGTTCCACTAGGCAAAAAGGATTTTTTTGTGCTTCAATAAATCTAAGGCTATTATTCTTTAATTTACTATCATGTTAATTGTTTATTGCTCTAAAGTATCCTAAATTAAGGATATGAATCTGTTAATTAAAAAACAGAGAGAATGCTCAAAGGTCTGCAAGATTCTGCTTTGCACTGACCAATTCATACGCATCATAAAGAATACACCTGAAATATTAGATTGGCTGGTTTACTTCTTTGCCAGCACAGGGATGTGAGAAAGAATGCATTAGCATTTAAGGAATCCCTTAGATTATTGTACTTTCTATTCTATTCTTCAGACATTTTTAAAAAGAATTTTTCAAAATCGAGTTGTGAGTAAATTTTTTCCAGGAAAGCCTTTGCCCCTTATTAGCTGACACACAAAAGACTTTCACATTTATATAAAAGATTTGTAAGGTTTAAAAAATTTCATTCTGATTGATGTTTAGCTATCCTATTTATTCATTTTGGCTGTAAGTTTATACAACAATAGTTGCTAACTTCAAAAGTTTATCCACTGCATATGTAAGCACTTATGCACATAAATTTTACACACACCAGTGTAAAAACTACATATGTCTCAGCGCATAAACTATGCATGCATAAAAATTATCTGCCAGAACACACACAGTACCTTCAATACTAGCCTTCTTTCTTAGGAGCTACGTTTTCCTATTAGAAAAGATTAATATTCATCTGGACATGTATTCTACGTATCATTTCTATGCAACTATTTGGATAAAACTAAAATGGGTTATGTGGCTATTTTATATTTCACATTTCTGTGACCATCTGAGCAGGACAAGCGTGCCATCACACAACTTAGTTTGAAAAAAGTATAGATGACCCCACAAAAACTCCACTGTTCATTCAAGGTTGTTGTATAGACAGCATACTTAATGCAATTCAACAAGACCTGGAAAAGAAAATGTTAGTTAACATACTTAAGTGGTTTAGTTTGTCACATCTATGCTTCCATTGACAGAAATATGTCTTGTTGGTAATCTAAATGCAATATTTCAGGAAAGAAAATCTTCCATATACAGTGTAAACTCATAGATCTTGCAAGGCAACCTTGAGGCAATCTTAGAAAACCATAGTTCCATAAAGGCACTTTGCAGCAGGACCTCTATATCACACTATTACACTAAAACTAGTTATAGTTTTATACAGTTAATATACGTATATATAAATATATTGTTTATATAGTTAATAATGTAATAATCATTTAATTAAAAGACAATTTTACGTAGATTGGCCTTTGGGATTTTAACAGTAAACCTGATCCACATGAGTAGATAAGCAACATACATGGCATTAAAACTCATGTACATATTTTTTTAAATTTTCATCTGGTATATTAGATATAATCTTTGATCCTACTGGTTTTTGACAATGATATTTTTGCACATAAGCATGTATTGGATTCTAATAATATTTATCAAAATTATGTACATTATGCATTTAAATCTTGATAGAACTTGCAGCCAAAATAACTTTTTCAAATTTAAAACATATATTGTAATCAAACTCAAGATTAGTCATATGTACATATACCCTACTGCTTTTTAAGAACAACATAGTTGTTTGTAACCACAATTTAAATACAAACTATTCACCAATTTTAGTGCTCTGCCTGGAACTAAACATTTCAGAAAATCAGTTAAATTATATGGGCCAGTTTAATTTCATTTATCTTCTTCCTTGAATGCAATGGTATGAAATACAGTAAGGTCAGTTATTGCCTTCAAAACATAAGAAAAGGAACAGCTTTGGTCAACTAAATTAATGATGGATAATATTTTAAATGAATTCAGAAATAAATGCCATTTTTAGAATATTTGAGTTGAAATAAAACTTGTCTGTCATTGACCAGATGGGAAGTTATCATGTTGTAATATATACCCATTCTTGGCTCTACAAGCCTTTTGCAAATTGAAATGTACAATGGTGTGACTCACTTGGAGGAAAAATAAAATATAGCAGACATTCCCTACAGTCATGAAGCTAGCACCAATAAATGCACTGAGAAGTTTTGTAACGCGCATATGGAGAGGCATATGTTCTCCCATCTTCGTAGCTCATTACTAGTGAAAATAAGACTAGCCTCAAAAAAAGTGACAAAAGGTGAAGTACATATAAATATCACATAGAAATGTTCAGTTTTGTACAGTAGAAAAAAAAACCAGAACTCTCATTTGCAAATGATATGATTATAAATCCCAAATGAAGCAAAGAAGGAATCACAATTACCACTAAAGGAACTGTAATATAATCGGTAATCCTTCAGTTTGATAATCAACTATATCATCTTAGTATACAAGACAGAAAAAAGAATACCTTAAGTGATAAGATCAACATTTCATTAGGCAAACAAAGATTAACTCTACTTCACATTAAAAAAATGTCAGTCAAGTAGATCTAGCAAAATAGACTGTATATGAGAACTAATGCATAAAAATGATTAAGTAGTGAATTTGTAAACAAAATTATTTTAAAAACTTGTAGTACTTTGTCCTGAAATAACAAGCCTAGATAGAGCAAATAATTTTGTGCCATGTTAGAATCCTTGGAATTTGGATAAAAAAAAATTAGGCGCCCACAGCTGGGAGGTACACAATAGCCTCTGTTTTCAATTTTGTTCTACGCAGTGAATACTTTTATTCAGAAAGTAGAAAGAAGGAATATAAAACAATCTACGAAGAATCAGCTTCCACTACCTGCAATATGTAACCATAATGGATCTTGTTGATATTCTAAACGTAATATTTCAAGAAAAAGTCTTCCATATGCAGTGTGTAAAACCAGTAACAAATCACAGCACCTCAGGACACACTGCCCAAAATTACTTAGCATACAGATTATTTCATTGCTTTTTTTTCTAAGCAGCTGAAAGGCGTGTTGTTAATAGGTGATGTTAAATATTTTACCATCACAGTTCACCAAGACTGTTCGCATACATGGACTGCCTTCACATAGGCATGCTAACTGTAAATTCTCAGATAAGTACTTTCTTTTGGACTCCTCATTTTCACATATAAACTTGACAGAGAAGACACCTTGGGGATCAGAAAGATGTATGCCTTCTCACTTTTCATCCTGAGAAAATACACAAACCCTGGATAAGTCCAGAATCCTTTTTTGCTATTTATTAATGATAAATCTGTCCTGAACAGCTCCTGTAAAATTGTAATTCCATCTCAAAAAAGAGAAATCTCAAAGAGTGAAATGGTACCTGCATTATGTTTAGATACCTTAGTGCAGCAGACGATAATGTCTTGTAATGTCATATTCCAAAATTTGCAATACAAACTAAAATTTAAATTCTGAACACTGGCTTTGGATTAGAGGATGAAAAAAAAAGAAAGCGAGTCTTTAATTCTCAGAAATAGAGTACATATCTCTTTAAGTGATGTATCTTGAAGTGATATATCTTTAAGTGATTCATGCCAATCTCTCCCCTACATCCTCCCTTCTCCTTACTCTCTACCTATGCAAGAATTACAAAATCACTGGCTAATTTCACTGAAATTTGATTAAAAGGCAGAAATTCCACAAATACATTATCTTTCAAGACCTAGAAAAACTTAAACTACTACTTTCAGCGCAGAAAAGTACACAGTTTTAATTCAGCTTATCTCTGTTAATAGCAAAGTCTGTCTGGTCTTTTGGTCAGTCAGTCATACATCTTAGACTCAGTCACACCATCTATTGCATCTTGTTCACTGAGTATCAGAGGCACGAGCAAAAAAAAAAAACAGCAGTATCACTGACATGAAACTAAGGGAGAGGGTTATGGAATGTAAACAGAATATGCTACATAGTATGGGGTAAATACTGTAATGGGGATGATACAAGATAAAAAGTAATAAATCCACAGCATATAGGTCTTCAGTAAGTCACCTTTCACTTGATAACATATTCCTCTATAACATAAAAATACTTTCTCAGAAAACAGAAACACAACTCACAAAAGCAGCTTTTCATGAAAATGGAAAGTGAAAATCTCTCAGGAAATAACTTTTGAAGAGGAGGAGGAGGTGAAGGGTTTTGAAGAGGATCTAAACTGGTGTGGGAGTGCTTTAAATTCAAAATTAGAAAGGGAATGACAGCACAGCTGGTAGCATATGTCTCATATGTAACTTGTCATTACTCACAGTGACACAGAAGAAGAAAGTAAGCATTTTTCTCCAATCATGCAGTAATCACCCCCAAAATATCAACTACTATCAAAAAGTATATATTTCAATGTGATATTTTATATATCAGACCTTTTTTTAACTAGCAATCACAAGTGAAATACATTCTTTATCTCTCCTTTAATTCTAATTCTTTGAGAACTGCACCTGTGCTGAACTACTATACTGCTATATACTTTTTATGCAAGAAAACCTTAAACATAATTCAAATATCAAACACAATGAGCACATGGGCAAAAAGATTATACTGTGCACTGCTTTCAATGAGAAAATTCTTATATTCTTTATTTCAAAGACTAGAGAAATCTGTAAAGAATTTCAAAAAATGCTTATGCGTTGTTTCATCAGAATATCAACTAAACATGCACTCACATACAATTTTTTTGAAAGTATTTGATTAACATTGACTATCTGGTAGTTCTTTTACAAACAACTTTCGATACTTACTTTGGTAAGGAAGGACTGGATGATGGTATGCAAAATAACCAACGTAATGGATGATAAAAGCCTTTAGAAAAAACATGAGGAAGATGTTCTCCAGAATTGTTCACAAAAGTCCTGAAAAAAACCCACAAATATTTCTGAATTACATGGAAAACTGGAAATAGCTTTGGAAGAATAGTTCCTTTCTATTGCACTTTTCTCTGTTCAAAATATGTGTATCAGATTATCAATACTTTTCTCATAAATGAAAGTAAAATATCTTTTGAAATGAAATGGTTATCTTCTGTATAGCATGCAAGTTGACATAGACTTAAAAAAAAAAAAATCAAGATTTTCATCTCCTCCATCTTCTTCAGTGGCTGAAAAGATATAGAATAGTGGTTGAAAAATCTGCAGTTTTCAAATTTAACGACTGCTGAAAAAGTACTTAAGCTAGTTTTATGTCACTTCTGCTCCATTACTGCTCTTACATAAAGAGTATGAGAGGACTAAGTCAGATGTGGAACAGACCCAGGGGTGCTGCTGGTTGATGCTCGGCTGAACATGAGCCAGCAGTGTGCCCAGGTGGCCAAGAAGGGCAATGGCATTCTGACTTATACCAAAAATATTGTTGCTAGGAGGAGCACAGAAGCAATTGTACCTTTGTATTCAGCCATGGTGAGGACATATCTCAAGTACTGTGTTTAGTATTGGGCCCTTCACTATAAGAAAGACATTGAAGCCCTGGAGCCTGTCCAGAGATGGGCAACAAAGCTGGTGCGGGGTTTGGAGCACAGGTCTTATGGGGAGTGGCAGAAGGAGCTGGGAATGTTCAGTCTGGAGAAGAGGAGGCTCATGGGAGACCTTATTGCTCTCTATAACTACCTGAAGGGAGCTTGTAGTGAGCTGGGGGTCGGCCTCTTCTCTCGTGTAACTGGTGACAGGTCTAAAGGGAATGGCTTCAAGCTGCACCAGGTAAGATTCAGGCTGGACGTTAGGAAATACTGCTTTTCTGAAAGAGTGGTCAGGCAGTGGAATGGGCTGCCCAGGGAGGTGATGGAGTCACCAACCCTGGAGGTGTTCAAGGGATATTTAGACATTGTTTTGAAGGACGTGGTTTAGTGAGTACTGTTGGTGAACAGTTGGACTGGATGATCTTGTAGGTCTTTTCTAACCTTGGTGATTCTATAATTGTATGATTTAGGTATAAAATAATACAAGAATAAAGAGTAACAATAGTACAAATAGTATTGGTAGAACTCTGCAGCAACTGTTAGGATTAAATGATAAATGATATAAATGGATGCTCCTTGGCATCTTCTTTTTTCATTCTCATTTATGCCAAGTACAATTTCAGCAGAAGAGGTGTAATTCCTTACATCATCTATCTTCCATTAGCCATAATCAATTGCCACTTATTTTGCATCTTGCTTTTCAACTTGCTTGAATGAGAATATTTCATCCCAATAACTTTCCTTTTCTAGCAATTACATCTTTAGGTATGATAGCTGAGACTTTTCAAATGATGTAAAAAAGGTAACTATCTTCAAAAATGCCAGTGCTACAAAACTTATTAGCTTTCCTTTCTGAAGTGATTCTGCTTCATTCCCAATTTTCATTAAGAATTCTTTCTGCTACAACAACAGTAGAAAACACTTCAAAATACCTAAAAAAGAGATAAGAAGATTTTCTCAGGATAGGAGTATCTTTATATATGACATAAAAAAAGCCACTGCCATAACACAGGAGCAATGAGAGTAGACCTAAACACTCAAAACTGGAGGTAGACCAGAAATAAATTGGAATACAACCTTCAGGATTACATCTAAAATGTAAGATCCTCATTTTCTTATAGGGCGCTATATCATAGCAGCTTTGACAGCATATGATTTTCATAATTTTACTGTTTAAAATTGCTTTTTATCTCTTCACAGTTTCATGTAAGTAGTTAAGAAGTACAGTTACAATGCCTGTGAAGGCTTGCCTATGTGACTCCAGTTGAAAGAAGAGTGAAAATTGCACTATTCAGTAAGAAAAACGTGTGTACATCTGTCTGAACTCCTTCACTGGCTTCTGAACTCACACAAAATATAGGGTAATTTATTTGGATACTACTTTTTCTGATTAATTAAAGCAAGTACGACTTTTAAATGATCTCAGATAAGCAATATCAGAGCACAAAGGTTAGCATATAGTAAATTTTTGTTCTTTGTGAATTCATGAATAATAGAAGACAAAATAAATCAGAGATCATAATGGAGTACTTAGACTAAAAATAATGAAAGATAGTAATTTCAACAATCTGAGAATATTCCAGAAAAAAGTAACCTTGTGTTATCCTCCACAATATTTCTCAAAACATAGCAAAAGACACAGCTACAAGATGTTCCTACAGGAAAGAATGACAGATACTTGTCTTCCCATACTGCATGAAATGTTTTAGAAGCTTTTGGTCTAGTGCAGTTTGTGAAGTACGGTTTCTTAGCTGAGACATGAGGACAAGCCTCAGGGCAGATTCTGAGGCATACAGCAAAACCTCTATGAACTTTGAAACTGATGTGGAGAAAATGTAATAGCTTTAAATGCTTTTTAAAATTTAGAGTATCTTCAAATACTATAAAAAAAATGAAGCGTCTAGTGAGAATAAAACAATCCTTGGTGCCAGCAATACTCAGTGTCCACTGCTGGCTATGCAGTTCTTGCCAGGAAAGCAGAATCAGCTCTGTGCCAGACAGCTTAATTCAACTACTATTCTGGCAGAAGTATAATAATAGGTAGTAGGAAATTTGTTTTGACTACAAGATATGTTAAAGAAGCTGTCTATATAGTCTCAAAGCAGTGGATAGCACCTGTGAAAGTATTTAATACCATGCCAAGATTCCAAGTTACAGTAGTTTTGTTGTTCTGTAGAGTATGACAAGGTGATAAATGATCTTTTAAACCTCGGTGTGGGCGTAAAATAATGAAATGCCAACAAGGTGCATCACATTGCTTACAGACTTTGAAGAATTTAGTTCTTTATAAGGAAAAAACAAGACTAAGAAACAACAATCATGAACTGTAACTCACATATTAAAATTATAAATAATATTTTATATTAGTTTTTATATTTATATTTTATATATTTTTATATATACTATATTTATATATTTATATTTTATATTAGTTTATTATTTATTTATATCAGTTTTTATACTGAATGACAGATACTTTTACTCAGAAGATTGCAATTTTACCAATAGAACCACTTCTTCTTTCATAATTTGCATCACTGACCTGATTTCTAGTTGAAAAATTAAGATACAATAATTTGTAACAAAAAAACATAAAAAGCAGAATCCACCTTGCTTTATCAGATCTTCACAAACAGAAAAAATGTAGCGTCCTAAGATAAATGAATATTAAAAAAGTACAAGAAAGATAAATCTGCTTCAACTTGAGTAACTCAATCTGCTGCAGAAGGAAGCTTGCTTTCTAATAGATTGTTTAATTCTAGTGGAAAAAAATAGGGAAGAAGAACTGTGTTGAATTCTCCTGCAAAACAGAGAAATAGTGTTGAAAGTTTTGATCCAAAAAGACCAGATACTTTATCTGAATAATTAATAATGACTTTGTGTGCATGGTGAAGGACTAAATCCTCTCTTTTTTTTTCCAGAAATTTGGATCAGTAGCAAGAAAATAGTTACACCTGGTAGGTTTTAGAACCATATTCTGGATGTCACTATTGCTCAACAGCTTCCTGAGCAACACGGACAGATGTGGGTATACAGAATACACACTTAGAACATTTGCAGATGATGCTAAACTGGAGTAAAATGATAAGGTAGTTTAAGAAATAAAGTTCTGAATAGACGATTACAGGGCCAACAGAAAACTCACAGAGTTCACAGAGGTAATATGCATCTTTTTCCTCCAGCAACAGAATACTAATAACTGATACTAGGCATTAACTGAGTAACTTCACTTATGAACCTGGGGTTTATGGCTTTTAGAGTGTTGAGTATGATACAACAGTGTAATCTCATTAAAAATAACATAAACTGTACACTAAGCTGCCTTAGGAGGAGCATAGCAAGCAAAGTGAAGTACAAAAGTTGCTCTGAAAGTAGTGCTTCCTATTTATTTCCATGAAAGCTACAACAAATACAAAGAGCAAAATGACACTATTTGATAGAGGGAATTATCAGCTACAAAACATCATTTTTTAACATGCGCATCACCATTAGCTGATTTGCATGGATGAGCTGATTGAGACACTCTTCATTGTGTGGTGTGATGGCTCTGAATGGCTATCTGGACTGTGGCTTGTCTTTCATGAAATGCACCACCGTCTCTCTCTGCTCACATACACTGTTTGGTCTACATCAACTTTTAGCAAGTGCTGATATATGTTAGTGGGTGCCATTTTTTCCGTATGGAGGAATTAAATGACAACCTTTGCTCCATGCACACTTCCATATCAGACTCCATTCTGTCAAACTGCCCCTTTGCTGTCATCTGTTGCATGGCAACAAAACATAACCAAATATTGCTGGGAAGGTTCAACCTCTACTGTCATAACACCAACATATGCCTCTGATATTGTGGATGAACATAATAAAGCACAAATGAGACATTACTTTCAGAGCTGCCCTCATAATTGTCTTCTACTTGGTGCCATTTCAATTAAAGAGCTGAAAGATCTGACGTCATCATGAGATCTTTGTCAAATATTTTCCAACAGTCTTGGAAATCCAGAAAGGTCCCCTGGAAGATGGCAAACGATGTCTTCACTTTCAAGAAATGCAAGAAATTAGATTCTGGTAATTACCAGAACCGCTTCAATCTCACTTTAGTTCTGATAAAATTTTGGAGATTATTCTGGGAGTTACTGAAAAACACTTGAAAGACAATGTAGTTATTGATAACAGCAACACAGGTTCACGAGGGGAAAGTTTTGCTTAACAAGCTTACTTTCCTTTAATGACAATGTTACCTACCTAGCTGACAAGACAAGTGAGAAAACGTGATCTCTTCAGATCAGTAGAGCTTTCAATGCCATCTCTTACTGAATCCCTCTGGACTCAGACCCTCAGACCCTCCGCTCGCCTGGTTGGCAGCAGTGGGCCTGCTGCACCCCAGGGTACAGTTGGCTGTTTGGGCTCCAGGGCACACTGCAGCCTTACGTACAACTTGCTGTCATCCAAAATACACAGTTCCCTTTCTGCGAAGCTGCTCTACAGTCTGTACAGTCCCCTCATCTGTAAATATAGCCAGAGTTGATCTGCTCCAGGTGCACAATTCAGCCATTGTTCTTGTTAAAACTTCATGTGGTTGGTGTTGGTGATTGCCCAGCCTGTATCTTTCTGCAAGGCCTCTCTACACTGGAGGGAGACAACAGCTCCTCCCAGTTCAGATCGTGACCTTGAGATCTTCCTGGAAGTGTTCACTGGAAGGTAGGATGTGGCTTTGATAAACCTGATTTAGAAGGAGGCATCTGTGCCCATAGCAGGGGAGCTGAAAAGAGATGGTTTTAAAGGTCTCCTTCAAGCCATATCTTTTGTGATTTTTTGATTATAATTTAGAAAGGTCACAAAAAGGGCAGAGAGAAAAATTACACGCAAAAAGTGTGAGTGCTAAAATCTGATGGCCCAAGATTCATAGGTGAATTTAAGATCAAGTCTAAGCATGCTTACCATATAGAGAAGACATTCTATGCAAGGGCATAGAATATGTCCTTAGCATATGAGGGTTCGACATACGACAGGTTCTCCAGTCTTTGGCCATCTTAGTGGCCCTCTTCTGGACTCCTTCCAAGAGCTCCATGTTTTTCTTGTACTTGGGGCCCCAGTCCAGGATGCAGTATTGCAAATAGGGCCTCACAAAAGCTGAGTAGAGGGGGAAAATCCCCTCCTCTCTGCTGGCCATTCCTTTTTCAATGCAGCCCATAACACATTTGGCCTTCCGGACTGCAAACACGCACTGCTGGCTCATGTCCAGCTTCTCATGCACCAGGATCTCCAGCCTGCAGGGCTGCTCTCAAGGAGATCTTCCCCAGATCAATTTGTATAAAAACCTGGGATTGCCCCAGCTCAAGTGCAGCACCCTGCACTTGGCCTTATTGAACCTCATCAGGTTCTCATGGGCCTACTTCTCCAGCCTGTCCAAATCCCTCTGGATGGCTTCCCTTTTTTCCACTGTATCGACTGCACCATTAAGCTTGGTGGCGTCTGCAAACTTGCTGAGGGTGCACTTGATGACATCGTCTGTGTCACTGATGAAGATGTTGAAGAGCACTGGTCCCAAGACTGACCTCTAAGGGCCTCCACCATGACCTGTGAACCATTAATCACAACCCTTTGGCTGTGACAAGCCAACCAGTGCTTAACCCTCCAAACAGTCCATCCTTCAAATCCACCACTCTCCAATTTACAGAGAAGGATGTGGTGAGGGACCACGTCAAAGGCTTTGCAGAAGTCCAGGAAGATGATATCCATTGCCCTTCCCCCATCCACTGAAGCCATCACTCCATCATAGAAGGCCATCAGAATGGTCAGGCACGATCTGCCCTTGGTGAAGCTGTGCTGGCTGTCTCGGATCACCTCTTTTCCTAGTATGTGCCTTAATATAGCTTCTAGGAGGATATGCCCCACAGTCTTCTCAGAGGTGAGGCTCACCAGCCTGTAGTTCCCCAGGTCTTCCTTTCTTCCTTTATTAAAAATGGGAGTAACATTTCCCTTTTTTCCAGTCACCCAGAACTTCACAGACAGCCATGATTTTTCAAATATGATGGAAAGTTTGGCAACTACATCAGCCATCTCTCTCAGAACCTTATGATGGATATCATCAGGCTCCATGAACCTACTTATATACATTCAACTGCATGAGGAGGTCTTGGACATCTTTCACTGTCACAGTGGGACAGAATCCACTCCCCACACCCTGACCTAGATGTTCGGGGTCCTGGCACAGATGGGAAGCCTGACCACCTATGAAGACTGAGGCAAAGTACTCAACGACTACCTCAGCTTTTTCTATATTTGAAGAAGCCAGCTCCCCATTACCTTTTGTCAGAGGGGAAACACTCTCCTTGGCCAGTCTACCTATGTACCTGTAGAACCTCTTCTTGTTATCCTTCACATCCCTTGTCAAGTTCAGCTCCATCTGTGCACTGGCTTTACTAATGCTCACTCTACAGACATGGACAACAGCCACAAAAGTGCAAAGTACTTAATACGTAGCATAACTATAGTGCCTTATTCTCTTTATTGGCACTTCCACTGAAACCCAATGAATTGTGATGTGAGAACAGATTTTTTATCATTATTACAGATATACATTAACAAAGGAAACTAGAATAGCTATGAGGGACAGATCACACAAATTACTTATTTTAGGCCATAAACCTAAGTACTTTCACAAAAGAAAGATGGTGGAATGATAAAACTAAGTGAAAGCAGTTACAACTAACACAATGTCTACTGCTGTCTCCATTACTTTTGCCACAGTAAGATTAGTCTGTTCATTGGTTACATTCTCTAATGCAGTCTTTACATGAGCCTGAGTTATTTCAGATACAGACCATTTTTGCATGTTCCACATTGCTCACATATGACAGTTAAAGAAGCTTAAATACACCCTTCTCCACTAGTAATATTAAGAATATTTTTATTTAAAATAATAGGATAAAAGCAAGTTGAGTGGAATTTGGCTTTTTTATTTTTTAAACATGTGATCTCTCTTTGTATTGCCTCTTGCACAAGAATTCACAGCTGAATATTTAGGAACAAAACAAATGGAAGACTCAGACATAATTTTAGTGCAAGCAAGCAATTTCTGTTTTTGTTTGCATTTGCAACTTCTGAAGACTTCACTTTAAAAAGATGGGAATTTCATACTCTTTTAATACTCTTTAAATACTATTTAAAATAAATATTTAAGATTTGCTGACACTCACTGGTCATATAATCAGATGACAATTGAAGTAAATTATGTTCCTTTAAATTCTAGCACTCACAAAGTTATTATAGAATGAAAGCAGAACACAGCTCACTGTGAAGCTGAACTAGTAATAAGACAAAATATTTCAACTGTATGAACAACTAATTCCTTCAAAATCTTTTCAAAGGCTTTAGCACCATAATAGTAAGTGCTTTTAATTTAATACGAATGTGTTTCTAACAAAACCTGTCTGAAAACAAAGTTGTAAATTTGGGTAAATAATAATCAATAAAATTTTACTGTTTGTGTTACAGAAGAAACAAAATCTCAAAATCAGCATTATCTTCAGCGTTGTCATCATCAGAAAAATGTGCAATTTAAGGATTTGGTCCAAAGGTGACATAATCCCTGGAGACATAACAGATCTTTAGACAATGTCATAAGGATGACTTCAAGACCAAATCAGAAAATAGTCAAAGGTTATAAAATTGTTTCAACAGTGTTCACTGCATTTGTATTTCAACACACTCATCTTGCCAGTATATCAATGTAAGCTTAAGAACAAATTTTGTCTGAAATGGAATGTTTAATTCATACTCACTCATACAAATTTTTCAGTGGTGAAGTTAAAATAGCTAGCACAGAGAGCATATTATTGCAGTGGCTATGTATTTTATAGATCTTGAGGTCTCTGTCTTCATGTGGATTCAGAAATTCCTGGACTGAGCTGCAAACTGACCACAGCATATTTTCAGTGGACATCAAAATTGCTGCAATATCTATTCTGTAGAAAGAAAAAGGGAAAATAGTATTACTTAGATGCATCAAAATAATGGTAGATTTGAGTTAAAGAGAATTCTCTTCTGATAACCAAAAATTCCTGAATTATAGGAGGGACTTGAAATTGCATCTTCCATCAGTGCCAGCTGTAGAAATTCAGAACTCATTGAACTGAAAATAAGCAGCTCTATTACAAAAAAAGATTTTACAATAACTAGCCAACAGAAGACTTGCAAAATATGGAAATGTCTTCTTAAAAGGACAGTGCTATTAGATGGGAATAACTTACTTTCTACATTACAAATAACAAAAAATATTTTAGATTTACAATAAAATAAAAAGAGCGTATACATACTCCTTGTATTTTCAAATCTAATGGGAAGAATAAAGTAATGATAAATGAACTTAATCTTGAATTTTACAAAACACTGTCTGTGTACACACAATACATTTACTATCTGGAAAATTTCTGACTCAGCAATTGGCTGCCTCTTTATATTAACTGGCAGAGTACTACAGGACTTGAACATATAAAAATCCATTGAATTAAAATATATGAATTATGTCTATCCCCTCCATTGTGTTTACTATCATCTAACTTGAATCACATCACTGTAAAACAGAAAACTAAGGTTTATGAACTTTAGCCATTAAAAAGTGCGCATTAAATATAAAATTATTACCTGATTTGTGGTGTTCGCTTATAACTAGGACAGGCTTGGGAATATCTAGAGGACAGCACATCCAAAGATTGCTCTAGCACATCTGTAAGAATCTCCTGGGCTAACTTGGGAGGTAGAATAGTCCATAGATCATGATGAAGAGCACAGCAGAAGTAATGCCACATCTGGATTGAGAATGAGCATCTTTCACCCTAGTAAAACCACACATTCAGTAATGGAAACACACCCTACAAAATGTCAATTCAGTTTCTGTTAGCTTTATTAATTCCATCTGAAAGGAAATAGTTGAAGTGTTACAGACATTCAGTGACCAAATAAAGGTCCTTGACAAGATGTGAAACATCTTTACTTCAGCTGCAAAACTAGAGTTCTCACACAGAACTACTACAGAACTACCACAACCTACTATATCCCTATTTGACCTTCTCTCAAAGCCTACAGATTGTCAAGTTCATAATATATCCAAGAAGTACTAATTTGAATCCATGTATAAATAATTCAACTAATATCTGTTCAGAAAATAGTACTGGGATGAAGTTGAAGCAGATAAGGGCCTTGAGCTTTCACCTCCTACGTTCCAATGGAGTTGAGAAATATTTTAAGAATTTAATGATATTTTTACATTACTAGATATAAAAAATAACATTTTAAGAGTTTGACAATGTTCTTCTCTAAACAAAACAATCTGGTTTCTTTATAAACATGCTATTTTGGCAGGATACTGGAAACTGTCATTATTCAGTATTTCACTGTCAGTATTTTAGAAACGTAATCTCTATTGAGGGGTGGTAAATTCTGACAAAGTACTGATGAACCTAACTTGTGACCACTGCCTTAGTCATTAAATTTATGATTGATGTAGGTATCTGAAGCATCTCATTTAGGAAAAACAACAAAAAACAAACAAACAAACAAAAAAAAAAAACAAAAAACCACCACATCCAATTTACCTGGTTTCACTAAGATAGAAAAGAAAAATTTACTACAAGTAACTACAGAAAGGAAAAGTCTTTGCCTAATTTTCGTCACACATAGAGCTAGTGACATCTTAGAACTGTTTTCAATTCTAACTAGTTCTATTCTATTCTAACTAGTCTCTCTGTTACTACAGTTAAGCATTAGGCATGTGTTTTTAAATATGTGAAACAGGATAGTCTTATAATGATCAAAAGTGAGTGAGGACCGAAAGAAGCCATCATACAGAATTTCCCTCTTTTTGTATTTTTCCTATATGAAAAAAGTTTAAATATTTTCACAGGTTATATTCAAAACCATTTAAGAAGGTACACGTTTAATTTGTAACTCAGCTCCTAACATAATTTAATCACTTTGCATATATGAAAAATTAATAACAAATTATCTAAATGTGGATTTCTTATATTATCATGATTACTCTCCAGATTAATTCCAGTACAACATCTCCAGAAAACAAAACAAAACAAAACAAAACAAAACAAAACAAAATGCCCTAAACCTATCTTACAGATATTTTACTAGCACTTCCCATAGTTTGTAAAAACTTTTCTGTTCTTATAGAATAAACCAGTCCGGTATAAAGTAACTAGTCCTAACAGAACTTAATTCATTTACATAACAACTTTAGCCTATAAAAATAATTCTAACAATTTACCCCTCCCCCCAGAAATGCATATCTAACAATCAGAAATAAAATTCTGAACTTTCTAACGCAGGGCATTCATTTTGATAAGTAACTGAATGTTGGCAAGTTTCAGTTTCTAACTATAAAGACAAATTATTTTCTTTGCTTTATTTAATTTAAAATGGTAAATTGAATAACACTGCTTTTCTAACATTGTACCACTACTGCAGAAGCAACAGTTAAGCTGATTTAATGGGATTGATTCACCTTTTCTGACTGTTTTTGTATTTGTTGCAATTTCTAGGCATTTCTACTGGTAAACATCTGTTATTTTTGCAAGCTTCATGTAATACAAACAGATGTGAGCTTTTATTTAGCTTATACATCAGGAAAAAAGCAGCTGGGCTTTATTACATAAGCCACTCAAATATTATCTTTGAACAGACAATTCTTTATTCTTTGTCTATTAGAAAACATAAGTTCCTAAAGCTACAGCAGATGTCTCCTACACTAAAAGCTCCATTCCAAAACATAATCTGGAGAGCTGGCGCAGTGGCACAGTGGGTGTCCAGTGCACTCTGTCAGAGAGATACTGAACCAAGAGTTTCATTCCCTGACAGTTTAGATTAAGTGCTGCACCAGAATTGTTCTCATAAAGTTTAGTTCAGATCTCACAGTACCACAAAATCTGTCAAAACTCACTGTTGCATCATAGTGATTAGGATCTCTGTATTCAAGCTCTAATTAAAATTCTAATTATAACAGTTCTTTTGGCTTTGCTTTTAATTCCAGTTACCACCATTAATTTAGGTGTGTCAGGACATATGGTCAGGTTCTGAAATAGGTTACAGAACGTATTTAGAACAGACATTATTCACTTTTTAGCAACAAAGAAAAAGAATGAATGCTTTGTATTATAGGCTGCAATAAACATTTGCTACCAATCTTGTTCTCTCTTGTTAACATTGTAAAAGTAAATAAATAACTGGAGATGGAAACTGCAGCTCTGTACAATCAAACACAGACACTTTCACCCTCTTTCTTCTTTGCCTTTCTCTCTTTGGTTTCTTCTTCTTTCAGGATGAATGCAAATCAGGGTAAGTCAAGTAGTTTCACTTGTCATTGCAGCATTAGTGACTAGTAGGGAATGGAAAGGAAGGATATCACATATTCTTTCTAGTACCATTTCACAGAATCACAGAATCAGAGATTGGAAGGGACATCGAAAAATCATTAAGTCCAATCACCCTGCTGGAGCAGGAACATCTAGATTTGAACACCTTGCATTACTGGAGAAAAATGAGTAAGTCCATGTGATCCTGAGATGTAGGCTTGTCATTTAGTTTGTTATTAAACATGTGACAAAAGAACAAGAAAATAAGCATTCCCTAACTTACACAAAATATTTGGCTTAGTTTGTGGGAGAATGTGGAGATGTATTTTTTCCTTTCAGAAATTGCATTTAGGATTTGCAAACGATTACTTATCCTTTTGAAGTTGTATGTAACATTCAAAAATGGGAGGACAGAGAGGAAGGGGTAGTGATGGTCCCAAACTAAACCAGATTCAAGAACTAGGTTACTACAGAGATGAGCAGAAGGAGGGAAGCCGAGTGTAGCTTCCCCTCAAAAACGCAAGGTTATGATGCTGTTTACAACAAGGGATCCCACTGAGAAAGGCCTGAGAGCCACTGATGCATATACAAGGGCATGTGTGTGCCCTTAGAGAGCAGCACCTCATTCCTAGTACTCCTTGCCTGCCCTAGAAGACTGGCAAGGTCTTCGGGCTGTTGTCCGTGCTACTCCTGGGCTGTGAGCTCAGAAGGATCTGAGTGACTCAATAGGAAGAGCCTCACATTTCCTGCTTAGTTTAGAACTTGGAAGGAACCACCTCTCACATCCAGAAGTTTCAGTAAGATGTTGCCTTTGTAACAAGCAACAGATTTTAAGCTAACCTCCTTCATTCAAGATGCCAACAAGAGTCACACAGAGGCAGTAGTTGCTCAGCATAATTTCTCCTAAAGGCATTCTGAGCAGATCATAGACCACTTTACAGGAAAAAGATTGGTGCAGTGATGTACAATTACATATTTCCCAACTGAAGCCCTGCAGGTACATGAAGTTGAAACACCGATTTTCTTCATTCCTTTCTGCATATCAGTTCTGATTACGAACAATAAAATTATTTAACTAGTTAGTAGTCTTTTTTGTTGTTGTTGAGACAGCTGTTTGTGACAACTAGGTATCACCATGTTGAATAACTGTCATCTGGGATTTACTGAGTCAACAATAAGCAGACACAGCACCACACAGACTACCACCAGTTAAGACCAGACCTAAATCAATTGCCGAAAGTCACTCAACTTGTTCCTTTCTTATCAGCTCAGGACATCAAACTTTATGTTCAAACAGAAGTCACATGTTTATTTACTTATCGCTACGGAAAGCCATTTTCACATCATTAGTTACATTAAGGCCTATTTAATCACCAGTACGGACATCTGTCAGTGACTTGGCAGCTTTGTATATGCTCTGTGTAGAATACATATATCACAGTTGTCTCTCATGCAAAATCTATAGAAAATGTCTAAAAAACCTGCTCTAAGTCTTTAACAAATAAAATTAAATAAGGAAGGGCTGGTCTCTATCTCCAGGAGATCTCAGTCATTATTGATGAACAACAATATAATGCTTCTGCTTAATCCTGAAATTACATGAAAATAAATTCAAATTGAATATGTCTACATTTAACTAAATAAATTGTTTTAATGACATATTCACTTGCTCCCTACAGTTTCTTTCAGAGAATCATTAGAATTACAGTTTAAAAACCGGCTTGCAACTTCAAAATGCAGGTGAAATGCCACACAGTTAAATTCTAAAAAGAACTATACAGATCACCTTTTCTAACTACATCCTTCACATGCATGAGGTAAAAAGGAAAATCAGTGGATTTAATTTAATCCTATTTAATTAGATTGATGATTTCTGGGAGAAAAATCACCGTCTTGCATTTTCATGTCACACTTACTGTAAGAAGAAGAGTTAACATGATGTCTTTTTTTTGAGTTTCATATAGGTGTCTTGAACTTGACACACAATATTTTATTAAGCAAATACCATAAAAACTGTATTTTCATTATTTATCTCATCCTTAATTAATTATTTTCTTCCTATCTCATTCCTCCAGAGACATTTGCTTGCAAAAAGAGATATTTTCAACAGTTAATACCAACAGTCTTTATGTAAAAATTATGCTGATCTCATGCTTCTAGTTAGACGGCTGACAACCAGTATAATACATTTTGTAAAAAATCAGGCATAGTAAACTTAACCTCACACCTCATAAAAAGCTTTGTAGTCATCCCAGTGGTGGCTCTCAGCATCCTGCAAAATGCTTGTAGCACAAACTCTGACACAGTAGTTCGTAACTTGAACCTGAAGAACGTTGATGAATTCCTGATATTGTTGGATAGGCACTAAGAAAAGAGGTCTGTTCAGAAAGAATGAACAAAGAAGCAAAGATTGAAAGGCCATGCAGAAGGTAGCAATCCCCAGTGCTGCAAACGCTCTTGATTATTAGGAATCAATCATTCATTTCCTTTTAGTCCTGGAATCTGAACCCAATATTCACTTTTGAAAAAAAAACTGGTCTTTTCACAACTTCTTTAAGTACATCTAGCCCTCTGCAAATTCTCATTTAATAGAGTAACTTGGAAAAATTTTACTTCAGACTTTTCTGAAATAGAAGTGAAGTTGTCATTCAGTTACTCAGAGATTCTGTGTCGAAGTATAATTGCATCAGCATTAATTGTGATAAAGAAAACATTAACAAAGTCTAATGATTACTTTTGGTAGGTTGGAGGCAAAATTTTTCATAATACATAGAAGTAGAATCAGTGAGCAATGTTTTGGTCCAAACTTCCAATTCATAAAAACAGACTTCATGCATCAGAGGGAAAGTAGCTCAACAGTTTATATAACCCCTTAAAAATTACACTTGTCCCTGTAAATTTTCTCAAATTTTCTCAAAAGTTCAGTTGTTTCCCCCCCAGAGGCCTAGTTTCTACCTTTATATTACGTATGGCTAAAACACATGGGACAATAAAAACATTCCCAGTATCTTAAGACAAAAAAATCCAAAAAGATCATGTAAGATAATTATAGTACAGTCCATGTCAAATAGTGTCTTTGACTTCAAACTACTGCTTCCTTTCTTTCCTATATTTTATTTTGCATGCAATGACAAACTAAATTCTAAAAGTAGATTGGATGTATTTTTACACATTTCTGAAAAACCTGATATAGGGAAAAACTTCAGGAATGTACATTTATAATGTCTTCTCAGATTGCTATGTGCCAAACTTGATATTATGAAAATGCAGCTGTTGAAGAGGTAAAAAAAAGGAAATTAAGGCCTTATTCAATTATTTATATGATAGCAGAGTACATTTAGTTCAAGGAAGTTACTTAAACTTAACAAATAAAAATTATTGAGCTAGGAATAAAATGTAGATCTTACCCATAAATAATTTGTTTTGCAATGGCTGCTTTAGATTATTGTTAGCTTTGACTCAGGTCTTTTCATAAACAGTACATGTAGTGCTCGTGAAAAAATGTGATGCAATTCAGAAAACTGTCATCACATTGTGTCATCAAAATGAAATTAAGTTTTATATTATTTTTATTCAAATTAAACAGTTACATGTAAAAGAGACTTACTTTTTGCTGCTTTCTCTCATTAAATTGCTATACATTGTAAAATGTTGACAGACATATATTGCTGTGGAAAGAGCAGCATATAAGTTTTGCAGGGGAGCCTTGGAGGGAACATCTTCACTTTTTTCCTCTAGTCTTGCCAGGACAGCTGTCGCTACTTTGCTGCAAGCCTCTACAAAATTTGCTCTAATTTCCTCAAGAGAATCATCTCTGCATGCCAGAGCCAGTGGAAGCAGTGTGTCAAGTTCTCCCATGATGTCAGAACAAAACTGGGAGAAATAAACGTGGCATCAAGTTATTCGTATTCTGACAGCATTGTTTAATTTATACACACTTGGGTCAGATTCTTGAACAATGAAATTGGCATAAAGCATAAATCCATCAAATGGGCTTTACAAACATTTCATTTTGTTTTACAGTAGAGAAACATTTATCTATAGTAAATGAATTATTACTACATTCCTTCTTGCTTTAAAGCTATGCAATATTTATTGAGAAAAAAATTAAAACCATCTTATGCTAGTAATGTCTTCACTTTGCTTATGACTTCATTCTATGTACATTCAAAACAGAAGGTTAATTCCTTGTAAACTAAGATAATTTTCTAAACTAAATCGTTTCAGAAAATACACATTTTTTAATACTAAACTTGAAAGAAAACATCTGTTACTAAGTTTATATACTGCTCTGCTTAATATTATTTTCTTTATTTTCTCAAATCTTATGTGTTACTTTAGGCAAACAATCAGCACCATCTAAATTTGTAGAGCAGTTGACAAACTTAGTAAGTTCAAACAAACGTTCAAGAAACTAATTCATTACCCTAAGTAATGAATTTGCATCAAATCAAAGAACTCTAATTTGGCCATATTTTTAGTTATGCTGATTTGTTAAATGGGAAGTCTAAAAATCTAAATACAGGAAATCCCTTCATAGTTACGCTTTACAGCATTAAGCATTTTCCTATGAACCACGTGGTAACAGTGTAGGTACTAATCAGAATGTTTTAGAACTTTCTGGACGAGAAAAAAAAATGCCAGCAAAGTTTAAAAGTTAATACTTTCAAGTACAGACTATGGGCTATTTTATAAAGCTTTGTTCAGCCTCAGATTATAATGCTTCTCACTTTCTTCTTAATTCCACTTATATAAGATTTAGAATATTAATGGTACTGCAATTACTTCGAAGTATAGATGGCAAACAGCCATTCTGTCTCCCCTCAAACTTCAGATCTTTTGATACCTGCCTTAGCAATTTGTTTTGGTTGCTCCTCTTGTTGGAATGCTCTGCAGGACTCCCTTATTTGCTCGTTATTTACAAGACTCATTGCATAGCCAGCAGCTGAAGACTGTTCTTGCAGCTCATGTTGAAGAATTTTAGTTGAAAAATCCTGAATTGCTATTGTTATACAGTGAGCCACTGAAGAAGACAGGTCCTTAAATGCATTTCTCCAACCAAAATTCAGTAAAATAGGCTGAAATAATATATATGTTTATTAAATAAATCCAAATTCAATGCTGAATGTTATTATTCTTACTGTCTGAAACTTGCATGAATATTCGTAACTGAATTACTTTCAAGAACACTATAATGTTTTGAAATCCATTTGAGTAACTTGAAATATAGCTCTGAAACTCTATGAAACTATATTAAAGCAGCATACACAAAATGAACATGCATAACAATATTGTATTTGCCATCAAGGTTTTAAGAAAATGAATTTATAAAAAGCCTTGATTAAACGCTAATGCTTTTTCATAATCCATTACTTATCATCTTTAATACGCACTTAACAAAGCCAAATTTATTTATAACCATTTTCAGTAGTTTAACAAGTAATCCAGCAGTGCATTTCTTGTGGTAGTTCTGTATTTTTCTTGCAACAACCAAATTCTTGTAACAACCAGAATCTACAAACCTTGAATATTAATGATAATGCAGCAATAGAAGGTGGTTTTAAGCCACACTTCATTTAACTTCCTTAGAGCTGGATGTAGCACAGATTAAAATGTTTACACAGATCTCTTGTTTTTAGCAAAACCAGTACATTACAATGGTTTGTATCAGTTCTTTGCTTTCCATAAACAGAGGGGTCTGAAATTATCTGAAGTGTTTCAGTTGCACAGAAGAAGACATCATAGGACATAGTTACTTTCCATCAATCTTGCTTTGCATGGCTTGTATAACATACAAACACCAGAAGTGTCCCACTGAGAACTGCACCACTGCATGAGAAATATTTTAATGGTGTAAGATAGACCATCAATACTCCTACTATGAGGGCATAGTAGGTGAAAGGAAGTATTCCTGACAACGAGTTATCATACTTAATTAAGAACAATAAAAAAGTCTACAACATAGAATCCTTTCAGCTTAACTCCAATTTAGAAATTGCATCTTCCTTCCAATCCCTTCCCCAGTCCAGTCATCGGCTCCAGAGAGGCAAGAGACAGCTACCCACACACTGTTTTGGCAATTACTCTTATTTTTTCGCTCTATGACTTTTTTTTTTTTTTTACTTTTTCTTTTTTTACTTTTTTTCATCATCCTGGGTCAAGTAAAACCCAATCTTCAGAAAACGTTCTTTGTAACCTATAAAATACAGGAATATCAGCACACATCCTTATTCAAAGCACATTTCAGAAAATTGTTCCAGCAGTAAAAATGAGCTGCAAGGAAATTAAATTCTACCGCTGCATAGTATCAGACTTGTTAGAACACTCGGGTCCCGTAACATCATCTAAAATTTGTTTAGTAGTAAATGACTACTAAAATTTAATCTTGTACATATATTCTACAAAGCGCAGTAGTCTGTTGACATCAAAGATGCTGAACATCATGTGAGTAGATGTCTCTACAGACAGTATTATTATCAAATGCTTCAAACTTATTAGAATTTTAAAATGCATTCCGCATTTGACAATATAATATTTAATAAAAGCTATCATGTTTTAACACTTTTTTACAGGTTGATTATGAAGTACTTATGATGTTAAATCCATTCCATTATTAAATCTAAAAAACACCAAGCAATTGTTCATGAATGCTCTAAGATTTTACTCCACCTTAGTGGAGAGTTTGCACTTAGAATTAATTACAGTATATGAAACTCTGGCAATAGGTGTTTATAATGAATATGGTGTCAGACCACATTGGAGACACAGACAAAAGAAAATCCCCTACAAAGTGGAAGGCTCTTTTCATACTCACCTCTTTTACCTGAAGTAACTGTTCAGGAAGCACACTGGCTTCATCTACTCTAGTTTCTCCCATTAAAAGCTCCCCACTAGCTTTCTTCAGAACTCCTGCACAGTATGATAAAGGGGATCAAAGTTAAAATTAATTCTGTAGAAAAGTCAGCAGCCTACAACACCTTCTGATATATCAATATGAAGCATAAAAAAACTCTGAACAAGATGTGGAATACTAATGTTATGATAAAGTCAAATTCAGGTTATACACAGCTCCTTTTATATAATATAGTGAAATCCACATTCATATTTTACAAAAAAGCACATAAAATGAGTAAAATATAGTTTCTTTTGTCATTAATTCATTTTTATACCAATTGTACAGTCATCTATTCATAGGAAGAACAGATAATGTTAGAGAAGCTGTGCAGAAATTAATTTCTATTATTTGTTCAATAAATAAAATGAATTGCTCACTAATGTGTTTTTATAGTTTTCAGTTATTTCAAAAAGCTAATAAGGTAAGAATAAAAAGACAGTTAATTAATACTGTTATTATAAGCAAAATAATGGCTACAGTAAAAAGAACAGGTCAAGTTCCTTGAGAAACAATGGAAAAAAGCTCACTCAGAAATCCTGAAGTAATGGACTTATTGCCTGATTTGACAGGGATGAATAGATGTCACTTCCATAAGTGAATCAAAATGAATATGATAATAAAACTAAATAATCTTGTGTTTTTAGAGTTCATCTTAGAATAAAGCTGTCAAACAACGCAAGTGTAGACATTTTAACTTTAATATAACCACTGTTAAATTAAGCCCAAGAATTTTCAAACAACTAGGTGTTGTCGAACATTACCAAGTACTCTTTGTTACACATAAACTTAAAGGTCTTCATTCATCTGATGCTACTGGTGGTATACTCAGCTGGGGTTTAAAGATCTCAATTTCTATGAAAAATCCAGTATTTGTATGTATTTACCTCAAGTGGCTTTTACTTTTCCCCTAAACAATTCATGCTCTGGAGAATGAACATGCTTTTCATATGCCTATATGGCATTTTAAAGTTGGGTGGTTTTCTAATGTTTGTTTGTTCGATTGTTTGTTTCCCTTTTTACTTTTCCCATATTCATTTAAATTTTAAAAAAGATTGTAAAAAAAAAATAGATGTGAAGTCTGGAAATTTAACTGCTAGAATACAAAACTAGAAGAGACTGACTAGATAATGTATTTCCCCAGTCATTCAAAGCATGGTGTTACAGACAGCATCATAAACATGGTGCTTTTTCCAAAGTTTTAATACACTTTATGATGAAGTTTCCTACAATTTTCTTCAGATGTTACTTAGAACAAAAAAATACAAATGACTGGATATTTTTACTCTTATTTATTCTGTATTTTATATATATAAATGCTTGAAATAGATTTATGTACATATTTAATAGATATAGCTTCTGATTCTAACAGTAAGAGCAATTCCAATATATATCTCAAACGCATATAAAATATCTCAAACACATATAAAATATTTTGTCTTCTTCCCAAAGAAGCCCCAGGACCAGTCACTTTCTCTGCTGTTTTTTGCTTTTTCCAAACCTTATCCAGTTAATGTTGGCCTTCATCTTGTTCAATTTATGAGCTGAGATGGGATTCCTTCACACTGATCATGGCACGCCAGCTGCAGCCTCTCAAAAGTATAGGCACTTCAAGTGCTATGCAGACTTTCCCTCAAAAACTGTTTCCACAGAGATAGACATAAAAATACTCTCCTGCAGTCCTATTATTTTTTCTCTTGTGACTATCTTGCACTAAACTCTCCTGGGAAATAAAAATGTAGCTTTGTTCAAGAGGTAAAGTTCCTGCAGTGAAGCTACTCACCCCGAATTTAATTTATCTTTGCAGAAAGGAACACATGTAACTGGAAGGAGGTAGGATGCCTTCCTTGCGAGCTATCAATTTCTACAAAAATTCTTTCACTCCTCACTCAGATTTCAAACTTCAAATTCCATTTGTGTGGAAAGACACAAATCCTTATTGCATGAAAGTTTATAGGAGAGCATTTGTAAAAAGAACATTTAAATATGAGAATTTTATGAAAGAAATAAAAGATGGAGAAGGAATAATCAGTTAATACTTCCTTCCAAGACTATATTCTACAACTCTGTTATCATTATAGAAGATTGTATCAATCTATTTAATGTACTTTATTGGTTTTCCAATTCTATTCTTGTAAGTGTTATGACAGTGAGACCTCTTGCATTGTTAATATTATTCTTTTTCTCCCCTATACAAAGTTCTTTTAAATATTCTACTGAATTTTAAAGCCTCCTATTTGCTTCATAACATTTAGGCTCAGAAGAGGAAGCTCACTATGACAGCTCTAACATCAACAAAGAGAAGCTAAGCATCAAGGAAACCATAGAGGACTGCTCATAAGGTAAAACGCAACTGTGACACCAAAGCACCTCACTGGATTCAGCAGGCTCAGGCAGATGTTTCTGAAGCTACTGGAAATATGTCTTGCAGAAATGGGTAATACCATCCCATCACAGATATAAATATATAGAAGAAATAAAACATATTTTATATCTAGTAGATTAAAAAGCTTACTGCATTTTTTTTTTTTTTTTTTTTTTTTGGGTGTGTGTATGTGTGTGTGTGATATTAAGCAAATGCTAATAAAACAATTACTGAAAATGAGCACTGGAAATCAAACTACTTCCTACTGCAAACTCTATCTTCACTTGAGATTTATCTGCTGAAAATTATATATTTCTTAAAGAAGATATTGAACATTTTTTGCAAGATCAAAGCAAAAATCTTTATAACTTCAGCATCTTTGAAAAAGGATGTCTCCCACAAACTTGATTCTGAACTCCTCTTATTAAACTTTCCAGAAAGCAATATAGAAAAAAAATTTCTTCTGCTGCTGTGAAGGAAAGACCTTTGCAAATCTTCTTGGTCCCCTGAGGCAAAGCTCGTAAACCTAAGGGCTTGACAACTTTGCCCACAGTGTTTTCAAAGAGCTCCATTGGAAAAAGCTTTTCTTGGTACTCATTATCTGATCTGTCCAAAGTTCACCTTTCTCACTGGAATGAAAAAAAGTGAGACATAGATGAAAGTACGTTAGAAGTTTTTGATTTTTTAAAAGTCTCAACAAGAAGCTTCTGAAAAGCCAGAGGGAAGAGAAAACTATCTTAAAGATGGGAAGAGAATGCATCTTGGCATTGATCCTAAACCAAGATCTCCTGTTTAACCCTTGACTGCCACTTAACGTTCCAGGTTGCTTCAAAGAGAACAGCTCCTGTGATGCCTTATGTACTAGGTATCTCAGAACATCTCAGAGAATCCATCTGACTGTAAAGAGAGAAGCAGACTGTCTCATCAGATGATGAGATACCTGCAGAAGAGATGGCTAAACGTCTTTTCAAGAAAAATAAAAAGTGGTTACATCTTTCATTAACTGAAATCTGCGGGGAAGAAAGTATATGGATATATAAGACTGAGAAGAACTCCAACACTTTTTCTCAGTAAGAGTGTTAATCTTGTCCAGAAGACGTGTTAAAGTTCAAGGACAAATTCATTGAGAACTTCTCATTATTTTCTCATTTCATCTGACTTGAGAGAAAAATTGAACTCTATGCTGGCAGCAAACAAAATGGGTATTTATATTAACTTCTTTTAAAATTTTCTTTAGATGCAAATATAATTTGAAATCAAACAGAAAACATAGGTCTGGCAAGGAAAAGTCAAAAACTAAAATCTGGACGGATTAGATGGAGAACACTGAGGAGTTAGTGTGGAAAATGAAATGTATAGATTTTTTTTCCATCTACGGAAAACAAATGGAAAAAATGAGTATTCTGAATATATTCCAGAAGATGACAGATGTAGAACTCTCCAACTGAACACGGAGAACTATCTATATCACCTAAAAAAATCTCTCTACATCCATCTCCCTACAGAGTTCACTCTGGTTCACTATTTCCTTTGGTGCTATTGTCTGCCATGGGGTTACCATCAGAGAACACTGGTAGGCAGTACTTCCCTCTAACATCTATTTTCAACCGCCTAAATTGGTCTTCATAGGATTCCATTGTGCACACTGCAAAGAAACTTGTCTTGTTGCCAGCTAGAACTGTGAACTACATGTCTTTCTTTTCTTCACTGTTCTTTTTTTGGTTCACAAGCAACCTCCTACCAAAAGCAGAATCCGCAGAAGAGACTACATCCAAGCGATAATGCAATGAAAAAGTATGAAGAGAAGCCCAGGTGGCCACCTTGCAAATTTCCAATGTGGAAGCCTTCGACCTCTCCGCCCAAGAAGCAGCTATAGTCCTAGTGTAATGAGCTTTACAAACCCTGGGAGCCTCTTTACCCTTAACTACATACGCCTCCCTAATACAATCCCTTAACCATCTAGCTAAGGAACTCTTAGAAGCCATTTGACCCCTCTTAAGACCCCCTAAGAGTACAAACAATCTGTCAGAAGATATGAAATCTTTGATTCTTCTGTGATAAACCCTAAGTGTTCTTCTTACATCCAATTTATGCAGCCATTGCTCTTTGTCATTGCTGGGTTTAGGGAAAAATGAGGGCCAAGAAACCGTCTGATTTAGATAAAACTCAGACGCCATCTTTGGGAATGGAAAAAAATTAAAAAGATGAACTGTCCAAACACCCACTTTGTTTCTGATGGAACTTTACACATGTTCTGTGTGTCAAGACTGAAGTGCTATGGGATATGCTGAACAAAAATCAACTAAAACTGCCATTGAAAGAACTATATACACAAATGCAACATTTGACATAAGCACGTGAAAAAAAAAAAAAGAAAAAAGTTGCATTTCTGCATGAGTTACAAACATGAAAAGGCTCTCCTCAATCCTAAAAGTAAGCAAAAAGAAAATGAAGCAAGTACAATGTTTCAATCTTGATGCTGCATGGCAAACCTTCTCATACCTTGCATATTACCCTACCTTTTATGAATTGGCTAACTTCTCTTAATTTACTAGCAGGACTACTTTCAGAGTGCTAATGTTTCCAAAACACTTTCACTGCAGTAACTGCGGGTGAGTTCGCATGTGCCCAACCTAGCTTTAAACCAGTGAGAGCTAGTTGCTTAACTGTCTAGCAAGAACCACACACAGCTCCACCTGGGCTAATTTACTCTGCTTCTTATGCTGGCTCCGCAGCCTGTGTTGCTCTGTAAACCTGACACTCATACCTGAGTGAATTGAAAGCTACTTTGGACAGAACTACATGATATATATTGTTCAATTAAATAAGACTATCAGTAGTAAGCATCCTGAATAAGTATAGAAGATGACCATTATATTTTCAGTTCACGTACTATGATGTGTTCTGCACAAAGTAAAGCAAGGATTCTAATCAATTATTCTTATTGATACTCAGTCTCCATCAATTTAAAAAAAAATAATCCATCTTGCTACTGAACAGAACCTGAAATTACTGGGTGTTGCTTGGCCTCTGACTCTGCCTTGCTGGTCTGTTCAACTTCTGCAACAACTGGGAACATACTTCTCATTTTCCCACATCAAATCAGCTTCTACTTCATCACCAAAGCCAAGATTTCTGACAACGTGAAGTGAAAATAACACCAATAAACTCTCTAGTCAAGACATATTTATTTTTCTGATTATTTTTTTCAGATATTCGTCAGAAATTGAACAAAGTTTGGTGTATAAAACTTCTTGGTAAGTAAAGGAACGCTGAAAACAAAGATATGTCTGATGACTTAATGAGCATCATCTGTAAAAGACCTATTTTCACCTATGTTTCAGGGTAAGTATAATTTTACATTTTCTGTAGAACACGATTTTTACCTAGAAGACTACTACCTGTAAATTGACCTAAAGTAATATTCCCCTTTCTGATTTGATAGAGATGCTATTTAGGGACTAGCTTACTGTAGACATGATTACTGCAAAAGAATGTTTCTCAAAAAAGATGTCTGAACACACTTCTGATGAACAGTTCTGAACATAAGACTTGAAGAAATGCTTCAGAATAAAATCCTTACTACAAATTCTGGAAACTAAGATACTTTTTTGTTAACATTGCAGTGATTGTGTTCTCTGAATTACTGGAGATCACATCTTAGACTCTCAATAGTTAAGCATGTGAAATCAATTCCCAATTTTAGAGTTTCTTTTTTTTTCTTTTTCTTTCTTTCTTTCTTTCTTTCTTT